GATTTATCCCGCCTGCATTTGTTATAGCCTGTGTCATGGTCGTAATTGATCTAAAGGCAAAGGCAAAGAAGAGCAAACTTACAAATATCTGAAATTGTTTATTAATGCAGAAAATGAGCAGGTGTATTTAGACTCATTGCTTGAATAGTGGTGAGAAAGATGCTTCGGCATTATGGGAAAACATTTAAAACAGACATAATGGAAATATTCATAAACCGCCCAGATTAACCCTAGGTGGCCAATAAATTGCATAAAGATATGTTGAATTTCATAATTATTTTTGATAGATTTGATAGCTTTACCACCAAGTCTACATATGAATAACTATCTGATCAGTTTAGAAAACACCTGAAGAATTATGGTAACTTGACATTTTAATGATATAGTCATTCAGTAAATCTCTAATCTTGTAAAAGGTTCTCCCTGAGAGACACAGGACATATCAGTTTTTTCACTAATGAACATATATTGGGATGAGGAGGGGGTATAATAACACCGTGCCAAAATTAGACTTCTTGACCTCAGGCAGGTTTTTTATCAATAGTATAATCCTAACACATTTATCTCAAAAGAAGGAAAGCTCAAGAATTCTGGACCTCGCTCAACAACTGAATGGAAAAAAAAAGAAGAATATGAAGAATAAATTTGCAGCATTGAATTAGTTCATAATGTATAGAAAAAGTACCTCGGAAGGCACCAGAAAGTTTTCCAGCTTGGTACAATTTCTGGTATCACCTTCAGAATATCACCCTTTGAAAATGCACAAAGGAGTGTTACTTTCTAATTTTAGGTCATTGCTAATTTCTGAAACTGAGTTCCTTTTCCCTGACATACAGTACTGGAAGATCTCATATGGGTGGAATTCATCGGATAAACAAGATTAATCTGTGCCTTTTTAATGAACTGTGAATAATTAAATACCTGTTCTGCAGTTTTGTTGCACTGGAATAAATGTCACCTATGAATGAACTTCCAAACAGTGCTACCGTTAGTCATAATGGGACTGCTATGTTGATTAATATACCGTCGGGAGTATGGAAAAAAATTTTGAGACTGGGATTTGAAAGTGTTTGTGTGTATGTGTGTGTGTGTGTGTGTGTTGTATGACTTAGACTATGCCTCTGGCTGTTCTGCTGCCCTTAAGGGCAGGGTGGAGACTCCAAGGTACAACTGCCAGTCTAGCCAATTTTTGAATGCGCTTAAAGGAGGGAGTGGCATCTTCTGTCTTACTGAGACAGAAGGATGTCTTAGGCTATATAGGCTTTTTGGAAAACTGCCTCTATCTGTGTATTTGTAGCGTTATGTTAATTTTCATAGAGAGCTTATGTCTTGTAAACATAGGATAGATTGATGGCCTATCTTGTTCATTGTTCTAGTTAAATAGTTTTTCATGTTTCATGTTTCATCTACTGGTTCTGTAACTAACCAATGATGATGGCAAATTAGCTCAGCCTTTGTTCAAACTATCATTTGAAAGATAAGAGATAAACTATCTCTAAAACGAAATGAAATGATTGCACAGCTGCTCAGCAGATTATTTGTTAATAGAATAGTACATGGATCGTAAATGAATAGAAGTAATAAGTCAAATTTTTTTGCAGTTGAGTGATTCACTGCAAATTCTATCTCACATACATGCTTTTATTTTAAATAAAAGAACAAAGTATTCATAATACCAGTTGTATTATTCTGATATACACAAGATAAAAGTGGTTTCAACTGGACTTTTTAATGAAAATATTGGTGTTGATTTTCATAATACATGAGTATTTAAACATTCTATTAGCTAATAATTAGTTGAAACATCATTATCATTGTTTATGCTGTAATTGAAAGGTAAACAATAAAAAAATCTTTTTTAAAATGCCATTGTTATCACAAGAACATCATAATGAATGAATAAACAAATAAATACTAGTATATGACCAATTAGAAAATAATTAATATTCTGCCTTGACAATTAGTAATTGTATATGGTTATAGAGCAACTCTTTTTATTAAAAAAGAAGAAGAAATGTGTTAGACCCTCTCTGTGGTTGTTATTTTTCTGGTCTTCTATGGGGAAGAAAATTCCTCTGAAACTTCTGGGAATGATTCCCTTTCTCTCCCATACATATATGCTGAAGATGCAAATCAAGTATTCATACCATTCAAACTAAAGAATGTAGATGAATTATAGGACTGCAGAAACTCATCTAATGTTTCCTCCCAGGATTGGCGCTTTTGAGCTTTGCTGTAAATGGGAAGTTTTCGTGGTGTCAAAGCTTTGCATCTGGTTTCTAAGACCATACAAAACAGGCCACACTTTCTGAATGTCCAGGTCTTGGGCAGCTGCCTCCCCCAGCTCTCTATCTCTTTCCTTCCATGTTCTCCTGCTGAAATGACATCTCTGAAGTGGGCAAGTTCCTTGTCTAGTCCTGATTAAAGCAGCATGCAAACAGATGTTTTAATCCTTCTGCAGTGGTAAGCCTGAGCAGGCATAAACAAATCATGAGAGCTTTTCAAGAGGGTGCTGGTGCCCAAGGAAGCCATTTGTCTCCGGGACTCATTTCTTGGAGATCATTTGTGGAAATGGCAAGAGTCCTCTCCACTCACTTCCATCCAAATAAGAACTACCGTAGTCCCTCTCAAGAAGGCAAAGCTCCGTTCCCTTAACAGTTCTGCCATGATTTAAAAATTGAGATGCTTCCCCCTCCCTGACGTAGCATTAATGAATTTCTTCACCAAGATAATGGATGTTGATTTTCTGAAGTTTTTGAGAAGCCCTGTATGTAATTGCAGCAAAAATGCATATACAGAGTTTTGTCTATTTGTTGATATAGCAGTCATTTACTTAAAGGTTAAAGGAAAAAAGTAGATTTTGCAAAACTGAAAGAATAACATCTAGAATGAATATTACTTGGAAAAAGAGAAGCTTATATATTATACAAGTTTCTAAGACAATTGTTTCAAAACTATTATAGGAAGACTTTAATAAAGTGTATGTACATTTGTCTTCAGATGAGTATATGCTGAGATGAATCTAAGGGGGGAAATGAAATTATTCACCATGGCAGCTCTATCTACTCACTTTCTTTCTGTTATAACATCTTATCAATACTGTAATCTCAGATTTCTTGATATAGAGAAAAGAAAGATTGGGGTGGGGGGAATCTAATGTAAAAGAAAGTGAGGTGGCAAAGGCTTTGAATACTTCACTTTTACTTGACTAAATTGTATTTGGTCAATACAAATTGGCAAGATTTTATTCTACTGAGTTTTGGATAAGAATTTTCCCTGCTGATTTTTTCATCAACAGGATGGAAAGAATATAAGATGTTTGAAAGTGTTCCAATAGGAATGGGAGGGGTTGATAGATTCATTCTTTGCTAGTCTTGATTGGTTCATCTTCTGTTGCAGTTTTGGGGATGTTGACTCCTACTGCCCTTTGCCAGGCTTACTCGCTAGTGACGATGTTTTGGATTGCAAATAAGTACAGATCAGTGGTGAAATTATTATTTTTTTTACTACCGGTCCTGTGGGTGTGGCTTGGTGAGCAAGGCAGGGGAAGGATACTGTAAAATCTTCATTCCCACCCCGCTCCAGGAAAAGGATGCTGTAAAATCTCCCTTCCCACCCCACTCTGGGCCCAGTCAGAGGTAGTATTTTCCGGTTCTCCGAACTACTCAAAGTTTCTGCTACTGGTTCTCCAGAGCCTGTCAGAACCTGCTGAATTTCACCCCTGGTACAGACCTATCAATATGTTGAGCAATTTTGAAAGATTTCTGCATAATATTTGTAATATGTAAATTGATTCTTGACTTGTTTCTTTGACAAATGGCTGAGTGTATCACATCTTCCTGTAGCAGACAAAATATGATTTATTTGCTTAACATTCTCTCTGGTCTGCAGCTTTCATTTCTCCTAATTTTTAAAATGTCAGGTCCAAAATGCTATTGAACTTGATTTTCAATTTGGAAACAAATCTAGTGACTTAAATGTCAGAAGTTTCAAGATTAATCAATTATTTATAGTCACAGGCAGGCTTCTCTGTAAGATTGTCCATACATTCCTAGACTGCCTCTCATTTTTACTACATCCATTATTTTTCTTCAAAAGCCCCAAAAAACAAAACAATGGAAAGAAGAAGATTCCTTTTCATAGCATCCTTCACTTATAGCTTAAGGCTGCCATCTCACTTACCTGGGAATAAAACTTACTGATTTCTAAATAAGATACATGCACAGCATATTATGTTATCTTTCAATTTAATTTGATGTAGTTAGAATTTCAGTCTAATAATACCATTCATGCTCTGGCAGAGAAAGAATAGCTATTGCTTGCATTCTCTTGTCATTCTTCATGTTCTTATCTTACAGATCAAAGTTATCCCATTCCTTTACTTTACTATCCCAAACCTTACTTTTTGGTTCTTAGATATGGCCCTATTCGGGTCTTTTCCCGATTTTTTTGCTTCTTCTTGTAGTTCAACAGAGCACCAAGGGTATCTGTTTGGCCACATATTCCATATGTGAAATAATGTAATTTTGTAGCTGTCCTACTTTTCTTTTGTAAACTTGTGAAAATATTTTGTTTTTTCCATCCCTGCCTAACATGAAAGAGAACTCTACAAATCAAAACGAAAGCATTATAAATTTATTAAAATAACAAAAGCTCAATATTTTTGTCAGCCTAGTCAAATTTGCCACAGCTCCAGTCTTGCTGCTGTGTTATAAAATTATTAACCTTTGCATATGGGAGAGTGGAAGGGGGAGAAGGTGGAGAAAGGATCCTTTGACCAAACCTCAGGTTAATTGGTTTAGTTTTAGAGAATAAGAAAAAAAAAGTGCATTTCAGTAATAAGACAAAGCTGTTGGAATAAGGGCGATTCTTTCTTGCGGGTGATCCAGTCCAGAACTCTTCCTTTGTAGTTGTAGTGTGGAAAATCTGAACAAATGAAAGGTTTGCAGTTATTTGGGCAGAACTTAGAGTTCACTTCTGAAAGGTGCACTCTCTCCTAGTTTTACAGTTGCGGTTACAGCAGCGAAGACGCCGAGAGCAGCTTGCCAGCCAAGGCATCATGCCACGTAAGTACTTTGTTTTGTTCTCTCTACCTATAGTGTATCCAAGCAGACTTGGTTGAGGTCTGCCCTGTCCCCTCCACCATTCCCCTGCTCTCTCAACCCAGTCTCTGGAGTATTTCGTTAGAATAATTATTGCTTCAGAGCAGGACATGGCCTCTACAGGTGCACTGCTTTAGCATCTCCAGTCTAATGCTATGCAGTACCCTTGGAGGAATCCATTTTTTCTAATGGGAGGGTTCAAAAAGGAGTACTGTAAAGAAAGATGTTTCCCAAAGAAGGTGAATATATGTGTCCCAGAATACTAGTCCAGGATTCAATCTGAATCAGTCACCGGGACCAAAGGTTTTGCCTTCCAAATGTTGGATCCCATCCTCAGGAAACGTCTCTGTTTTGCTTGGGCTGTTTTATGTGTGATATTTGTATGGTGGCTATTGTGTAGCTTCTTAGATGTATATTGGGGGGGGAGTTGATGGCTGGCTATCAACAACCCAATAGCCAGCCACCAATGCACAGAACAACTCAGAGCACATAGAGAAGCTCCCTGAGGATGGGCTTCAGAAGATAAAACCTCTGGTTCCAGTGACCGACCCAGATTGGATGCCGTAGAAAGAACTTTTTTCTCTGCTCCTCATCCTGAGAGGAGTTGTACTCCTATTTTCTGCTGAGATGATAAGCAAGTAGAAGGAATTTCCCTGGAAATAGTGCTTGGGATATTTTTTAAATTGCCAAGAGCTATTGCTGCTGTAATAATGAAAATAAGGTATAAAACTTTAACTTGTACTTTTCTAAGAATTCTAAAGAGCCCTGGGTCCATTGGAGGGTGGTGGTATAAGTGTGGTAGACTAGATTGTATTAATTTGTTGCCAGGTTTGGGATGCCTTGCAAAACAACCCCTCTAAGGTAGGTCATTAGGTCATGATTATTCCAATTTTTTGCAGATGGGGAAACTGAGACTGAGAGAGATAACACCTTGCCCAAGGCCACCCAGTGAGTCCATGGTCAAACTAGGATCTGAATCCAGGTCTCCCAGCCCAAACACTCTATCTGCTGGATCACCCTAACTCTTAGCCACACACACCATTTCTGCAAAATCCGTTGGGTTTAGCATGTGGCTGTTAGCTCTGCTATTGCTTTCCTCTTGAGTCACAACTTGCCAATGGTTCTATGTATTTGGCATGGATCATCTGTCACTTCCCTGCAAATAGCGCATGCAGCAGCTTGGCAGTTTCATAGGGCATTTCAGCCTCTGTAGGACAGGTACAGCATGTAATCACTTCTGAGTGGATCTCACGGACTGTTTATGTAATTGTGTGGCCCAAAGTTCTTGACAGTTTTATTCCTATCCCGCTATCAGGCCAAGCTGGCGTGTTCTACAAAAATGAGGTGTCATTGGTGTTTGCCAACTGTCAAAGGATGCTTTGACACTCCATAAAAGTTCTAGTTTACCTCCTGAAAGGCATTTTTGGTCACAAAGAGAAGAAGGAAGAAAGTGACGGGGAACTAGAAGCAAGAATAATAGTTGTAGGTTGTGCTGTCAGGCAAACAGATCTGTACCACCTTCCAGACATTCACCATATCGATGGATAAGCCTTTATCTCCCTGTTCTTCATAATGCAAAATGTATCTTCTTCTAGAAGACAAAGCTTGACAGTATTCTTCACATCCACTGTAGAGCAATGGATTTATTCACCTAGGTTTTAAAAAAGCAGATAGAAGAGCAACCATGAAATAAGGCATGGGTTTTGTTAAATTCAGCAAGCCATATATAAGATAAATGGATTTGTGGTACATGTCTTTGGCCACTGTTTGTTTTTTCTGCAAAAAAAGTGGATAAGGAAAAATCTGAAACAGCCTTTGCAGTAGTCCATTTTAAATAGTAGTCATCTATTATGGCAAGTGTTGTCAATTGCCTTTTAATCTGATCATTTGCTCATTCTCATTCTTCATTCAGTGATGATTTCTATAGAATAGGCAGGGAAATAGTGACCAAAAATGGCCAGAAATAGCTGCTGAGGCAATAAATAGTATGCCAAATAGTATGAATTTGGATAGGAGATTCTTGGAAAAACCACATAGAGGAAGAGCAGAAGTATCAGCCATAATATTCAGCCTTCTTCCTCATTTTTTGTCAGTATTTACTTTATATAAATGCTCTGTTTTTCTCTGTGATTTTTCTTTCTATATTCCTTGCAACGTCACACAGGAGAAACTGATTACTGAACATAACAATTTAATTATTGCCGTTATTTGATTCATTGGTAGAGTTTGTTTTTAAAAATCTATTTTCCTGAATTCTATTCTTCAAAGCATTTTCATCACCTCCTTAGTCCAGATCACACATCAGGACAGGCATATTCGTTCTAGAACATCTCAAAGGAGGAAGAATTTTAGATCAGTGAAGTTGGCACTGATCCTTTTTACAGCCTATTCTGCCTTTTCTCACAAATCTTTCTTCAACTGTTAACTGTGGCATTAGAAGAGGTTCTATGCTATTTTTTATTTCATTCTTTTTTCTTTTTGTTTAGTTTTTGTGGAGTTGCTGTTTGTGTTTGAGTGTATATTGGAGGCATATATCACCTGGGTCCTCTTAAATCTGGGGAATAAATAATAAATTAGCTTGCCCAATACATCAATGCAGAACGACTCACTTCTCCGACAACAAATTTCATTTGAAGCAGAGAAGCCATAACTGGCACGTGAAAATTGTATAAATCATTAATTAAGAGCAGTTTTTACTCTCTTATTATTTGGGGGATAGGGAACAAAAGTAAAAAAAATGCTTGTGAAATTAAAAAAAGTATCATCTGTGATTTTCTTATTGCACAGCTTGGCTGAATGCCTTATGAAATTGTGCAAAGAAAGCAAACAATAATTTGACACTTACTAAAACAGGGTCCTGAATTGTGTCTGCAAACTTTCTTTTGGGCCACACTTCAATTAATGAAATAAAGCTCTAGATCTAGAAGCTTTTGTATAGCTTTGGATAGTAGGAAGTTTTACTCTTTAACCTATAATAAAAAGGAGGCTTAGAAATGGCCCCAAAAATGAGATTGAAGTCAGTCAAGACTTATGTGCCAACAGATCTTCTCTAAGCCTCTTAAAATACGGAGCAGCCTCCCACTTGATGAAAAACAGTTCCAAAAACAAGTTTATGGGGAAGAAAGATTTCCTTATGAAAAATTCACTGATGTTTCAAAGAGCCAGATTGGACCACTTGATCAGTATTTATTTAGCTTCCAGTCAGCACAGTTTGTCAAGTTTAAGATTTTGCAAAAGAAGATTCCTGCCTTCTATTTTCTCATTTTGAAAGGATTTTTTAAAAAAAAATGACAATGGGGAATTCTCTCTCTCTCTCTCTCTCTCTCTCTCTCTCTCTCTCTCTCCCTCCCTCCCTCCCTCCCTCTTATTTTCTCTAACTCCAATGAGATTACTAGATTAAGGATAAGTGTCAAATCTGGCATAAAACAAACTCCCTGCTGATTAAACCTTATATTCAGGCACTTGCAGTTGCACAAGACCTCTCTCTATCTCATTGTTTGTGTGAACGTCCATTTCAGTATAATTCCTTTCCCAGCACAAAAAAAGGACCAAAGGAAAGGTGTGAATACAACGAGCTGAAACTCTGCATGCTGGCTTGTCTGCCTAGTTAAGTGAAATGGGATCTTAATTGTCCCACAGCTCTTTACAAATTAAAAAAAAAGATAAACTATGAAAAAACACACACATACAAACCCCAAAACACACTGGCTGGTTCCATGCAAAACAAAAGGGAACTTTTTCTTTTTACTGTAGCTTGTTTAGAAGCAAACAGACAATTAGAGCTGGCCTATTGCCTGTTAACTCAGGTCAATTTTACTCCTGCATCATTTTTCCTAGGCTACGGGACATGCAAGAAGAGTTTCAAGCAAGAGTAGATGTAGGGGGAATCAGAAGCAAACAAAATATTTTATATTATGAAAAATCAGAAGACACGGGAGATGGAAAAGCAGATATTTTTGAAGTGCCCCTTGCCAGCAAATAATTTATTTTCAAAATATATTCTTGAATTTATACTCCACTTTTCTGTTTGTTCCAGCATTCCAAGTGACTTATACTAGCTTTAGTATTATTTCATATATAGCAGTGTTTTTCAACCTTGGCAACTTCAAGAGATGTAGACTTCAATGCCCAAAATCCCCCAGCCTGCAGGGGGAATTGAAGTCCAGGCTGTTAAAGTTGCCAAAGATGGGGAAAACCTGCATTATTGCATAATCGGAATTGGATTCCATGTGAAGGACCTGTAGAGAAAATGAAATGATTGGATACTCAAAAATTGAGGAAGCAGCTTTTGCCTCACGCACTACAATTTCCCTGTCTCTTCTCCTGAGTAAATATGTAGTTGCTGTTCACTGCTGGCACACAAAATGTTTTCAAAAGAACATTGCCCAAATGTACCTTTTTCCATTGATTCTGGGCAACTTGATGGTCCCAAGAGGCTATGCAAGCTACACCCCGCCCCCTCATTACAATAATTTGGCATTTCCCCCTCCTATATTTTGTTGCTGGCTTTTTAAGATGGTTTTTAACTGCCTGCTAAAATAAGTATTCTAAAATGGTTCATGAAAGAAACACAATTGGAAAAATTGGAATTTAATGGATAACTAGTAACTCTCTAAACTTAAAAAAAAGATAAAATAAAATGGGGTTTTCCTTTCATTGATTTCTTAAGTGCTGATGATATATAGCTCAAGTGTTGCTAAAGGGAGACATTCATTCGCAGTCCAGTTTACAGCTAGATCTTCTCCGACTGATCATGCTGAATTCTCCACCACAATCTGAGAAGCATGACCTTATGTAACAGTATTTAGAATTAATATACAAGATTATGAATGCATTTCTTAGACTGTTTCAGAGAAAATGCCCAGATCCTGGATAAGCTGCGCTTTTGTGTTAGCCTTCTTCACACCAAGATATCCACCACAAGAGAGTCTCCTGCTTAGATGACATCTGTCTCTTTGCTCAGCTCCACCCTCCACCATTTTTCATGCCACCACCCGATCTATGATAAAGATGAATGATTTCTATAAGATTGCAAATGTTAGTGTTACTGTTGTGACTATTATTGTTATTATTATGAAGAATGTGAAGCTGAATGTAAGTATGCTCTATACATGTTAGGCTCACTGGGCTTCTCTCTATTTCTGTTTGCAGCACTGAAAAGCCCTTCTCCCTTCCATGAGCAAAAGAAGAGCTTGGAGAAAACTAAGGTAACATTGGGGAGGGATTTGAGTGGGTAGATGGTGATGGCATCCCTCTGGATAACAATCTTTTTAGGACTCAGAGAATCCCTCTGCGAAGCTGTGGCTGAAAAAAAAAAAGCTTAATGACATATTTCAATGAAGGCAACTGTGCTAAATACAGTGATGGGATGTTCAGCTTAGGCATTGGCACATAGCCATAGGAAAATGAATATTTGAACTCTGTAAGATGGAAAGTGTATTCAAGTTAGCTACACTTGATCATGCAAGCCACAGGGGTTGTGGGGAAATCCCAGAAGGAAACCTTGATACCTTTGCTTGCTGTGTACCACATTGCTCTTTAGTTCTTATGACAGTGTAAGGTTCCTTTGAGCTGGTGCTCTTGTTATCAACAGCCCTTGCTGTGAGATTAGGCATTGTAAATCAAAGCTGGAAGAAAAGCCAAAATGGAAGAGCAAATGACAAAAGGGTGTGTGTGTGTGTGTGTGTGTGTGTGTGTATGTGTGTAATATCAAATTTATCTTACTACACGTAGGCTTATTGGTTAAGCCAGATTCCTATTATGAAAACAGATTGACTTGTTCTGTAGTTGATCACAGGTTTGGATAATAGAAACACCAGTACTGCAGCAGGGTTGGGATTCTAATAATTTTACCCACTTGCAAATAAATTATCTGGAAATTAAGGATTTCTTGTGTTTACTGGTGATTCAACTTGTTCTCCCACTCCCAACTGGTGTAGGTTCTCCTATTTTCAAAGACTAAAGTATCACCTGTCCTCCAACAATATCAATAGGATGATGTCCACTCCATACTGTTTGTGATATAACTGATAGAAATACTTATTTTATTCAGGCAAGATTCCATTTCTCTTTGCAGATATATAATATGGAGGTCCTTGTCTGCATAGAACAGTGTCTTTTTAAGAGATCTAGACCAACTAGGCCTTTTTTTAAAAAAATGCATAAGAAGAACTATAATCCCACTGAAAAAAGCTTTGTTTGTTTGTGACTGTAGTTCAGTGGCCTATATTTCTAATTTATGGAACATAACAGAATGGCTGGAAAGTCCTTGACCACCATAATGTTGCTAGGTTGTGGCCAATAGCATAGAGAAGTTTTGTAAGATCCTAGAAGTGTCCATTGGTTTGAAATGCTTAGGAATTACAATAGTAATATATATTGCCCCAGAGTGTTTTACAGCACTCTCTGTGTGGTTTACATTGTTAGCATATTGCCCCCAACAATCTGGGTCTTCATTTTACCTCAGAAGATTGGAAGGCTGAGTCAACCTTGAGCTGGTCAGATCAATCTCCAAAGTTAGCCTGTCATGCTACATTCTAAGCACCAGAGCTCTTTATACTTATAGCCACCATAACACAGCATATGTGTTATTTCTCTGTTCATGGAACAGTAGGGTGACTGGGTCTCATGCAGACAGGGGGACCAAATGATTGGCTCCATTTTACAGTTCTGGATAAATATACCCACTTGTTTCAAAATGATGCCAAGAAGATGATGGGGGAGATTACATTATTTTACATGAGTGTCTTGCAAAAAGTCATGGCTAATGTAAAGAAGGATCTGTAGCCCATTGTGAAAAATTAATGTGCTTGGGAGACTTCAAGCAGTCTGAAGTATCTTTGAAGTGTTGTGTATGTTCAGACATAGGTTAATATCTCACTGTCTCTTGCAAAGCTTCTACTGGCTGATTGCCTAGAAGAAAAAAAGGATTATATGAGTCAAAGGACCTAAACTGGATCCATTTGGAAAGCCAAAATAGACTCACAAATACATTCTCAACCTTTATTGAAAGTACTGGGTTCTTAATTGAAAGTGAGTGAGAAATTTACAGTAGTAGTATATTTCTTAGGTAGCTAGAGAATGGTTGTTTGCTGGGAGGTCTGAATGAACCTTTTTTCACACATGACCTGAAACAACATTAGTTTGGATGACTGAGAATCTCCAGAAATAACATTAGTTTAATCACATTAATTTAAACAAATACAGCAGTGGTTAAAAAACAGCACCTGAAATTTATTTAAATGAAGTCAGTGAATTTGCTTTAGTCCAAGTATATGTTGTAGGCAGTTGCAGTCTATGTTACAAGAACTGAACTGTTTTGAATTTAATACATGTTCTAAATTTCATGCAGCTATCGGTAATTTGTGTTCTAAGAGATATTAATGGAGATTTTAACAGATCCAAATCTAACTAGCAAAAGTTTGGTATTCAGATTAGAGATTGTTGTAAGCAGATCATGTTTTAAGTCTAGAGCAAAACAGAGAGTGTCTACTAAAATAGTACAGTTTCCTCATTATAAGGAAATACCTAATATCTTAAGTTAATAGCAATAGCACTTAGACTTATATACTGTTTCACAGTGCTTTACAGCCCTCTACAAACGGTTTAGAATTAGCATATCTCTTCCAACACTCTGGGTCCTCATTTTACCAACCTCGGACGGATCGAAGGCTGAATCAACCTTGAGCCTGGTGAGATTTGAACTGCCAAATTGTAGACAGCCAGCAGTCAGCAGAAGTAACCTGCAGTACTGCATTCTAAACACTGCACCACCTTGGCTCCTAAATTAAGCTAGTGAGGTAACAATCTCTGCTCTTATGTTCTACAGACTGAAGATTATTTTAAGCACAAGATCCGAAACAGACCTGAGCATTCTGAACTGCTTGATATGCACATTGTTCAAGGTAAGACTGGCTGAAATGTTCTCTATTGTAAAAATCCATTTAATAAGTAACTTAAGTCTTAATACTCCCTCCAGCTATGTTTCATTCCACGTACGGATGGTACCTTTTATCTACTAGTCCAAAAGTTTTGCATTTCCCTTTCAGTTTGAGATATGTAGGTTTTAAAAAAATGGATATAAATGATTTTATCCAGATATGATTTACATAATGCCCATTAACTCTAGTCAATTTACACCAAGAACTCACTCCTAATGATTCCTAGTCTACTGAGATAGAGGCAGCGTTGTGGGAAATGCTCACTTGAATGGAAAATAATATTAGTTGGAAACCATATACAGGTAATACTTTTTGGAAACCATATGCAGGTAATACTATTTGGAAACCATATACAGGTAATACCTGAAAGAAAGTCCTTTCCAACCCTTACATTCTGTGATGTTAGATACCAATTATCTAATGTAGTCAATCTAGTTATATTTTCTGCATATGACTAGTATGCTTTGTTGAACAAGCCAGTAATAAAGCAAATAAACCATGCAGTTGAATAAATCTTTATGATAGCGTGAATATTTCTAATAGATAGTAACAATCAATGAGTCAATCACTAGCCATTGTGTGAAATCATGATTTCCTTTCCACAATTAAGTTATGATTTACTGACTGACCTTGTTGACATATCACACTAGACTACAAACATATCACTTTATGATTATAACATAGCATAACATAACATAACATAACAACATAACATACACAACACAATATAATTAGCATAGCATTGCATTGCATTATATATAATATGTATTCTACAAAGTTATAGTTATAAGAAGATAAAAAGATAAGTAATAGGAGAGATGAGAAGAAGAATATAATTGATTATAGAATAATAATATAGAAGAATTATATAATATTATAAAAGAAGAATAGAATATATATTATATATGATATAATATGTATTCTATTATTATAATATGCATTATATTATTTTTCTAGATTATTATTATTTTATAATGCATTCTATTCTTCTTCTCGTCTTTCCTATTACCTATCTTATCTTCTTTCAACTATAACTTTGTTACTTGTATCTTACAATTTATATTGTTTACTTAGTATCCTATTATGATTTTTGTTGATTGCTTATTTAGTATCCTATGACTATCACTAAGTGTTGTATCTTATGATTGATAATGAATGCATTTTTACAATGACTATGATAATGATTTATCACTTATTGCTTGTATGGACACTGAGAGCTTACACACCAGAGACAAATTCCTTGTCTATCCAATCACACTTGGCCAATAAAGAATTCTGCTCTGCTCTGCTAAAATGGGAAAGCCAAGTGCGTTCTGGTCAAATGCTTTTTGTTACAATTGCATCCATGTCAAGGAACCTGAATATTTTCTCTTTAAAGAAACTGTTCTGACATGATGTATAGCATGCAGTGCTTGTTGAGCTTTTTTCTAAGCAGGAAAAGAAAAAGTCATTTGATACAAGACTTGATCATTTTCACCACTTACTTGACAGATTCAACTGCAGAAGAATCCGTTCAAGCTAGTCAGATGAAACTAAAACGAGCCCGTCTTGCAGACAATCTGAATGAAAAAATTGCTCTTAGACCAGGACCTCTGGAGCTGGTGGAGAAGAATATCATTCCTATTGACTCAGCTGTGAAAGAGGCCATCAAAGGTAATTTTAATAGGTACCTGTTCAGGTTTTCATAGGTAATGGTTCAGGTACATTTTTGTACCCAGCACATCAGAGGAGGAAGGCACGTTCCGCTATAATGGAGAAACTCCTTTAGAGTTGCCTTTAGAGTGATTCCTCTGAAGGAGCATGGATGTATGTTGATGAGCAACCAGAACTTAAGTATTCCTGAATGGTTTATTCCTTATTGGCATGTCCCCTCCGTATCCAACATATCTCCTTGCTAGCTAAGCAGGAAGACACTTGATCAAAGCCAGACTCGGCCCTGCAAAGATTACAGGGCCTAGAAGGAATCTTCTTTTCTTTCACTGTCTTCCAGTCTTTCGGGGGCTTTGTGATAGAGCCTGTCTTTCCCAGCACTTTACTTATCAGTAGAAGCCAAGGGTCAAGCGCTTTTGCCTGCTAGATGACGGGATATTGCACAGGAACACTTTCCAGAACTCCTCCAGTCTGCTGAGTGGCAGAGAAGTAGCATCTGGCAGGAGTCATACTGAGTCTTGAGGAAGCAAAACCGACAGGGCAAAAAAGTCTCCTTGTTGTGTTCCTCTAAGGAAACTGCAACATTTTTTTTTTTTAAAGGGAGGGCATTTTAGAATTTTGATGTTTGTTGACCAGAGATTGGGCAACACAGTCTTGGGGACTTCCTTGGATACGTTTTCTCTCCCAGGATGAATGATGTTTTGCCAGCAATTCTATCCATTTTTAAGAAACAAACTGACAGGAGAGGAATAATTTGTCCTGAAAGAATAGATAGCAGTTGCATTCTTCAGAGCTGTGAAATTCTGGAAGAGAAATAAGGATCTTAATCTAACGAGGCTGCTTGAATTAGTGTATGGTTGGCAGAAACTTCCAAAAGTTCACTTTGTTGAACCCAATTTGTGTTGAGCTCATGGTGAAATCCTGTCTTGACTCACCTTCAGTGACAATCCACAGCTATTCCAGGGGTACTCAAGTGATATTGCAGATTCCGTCTGTCTACTGTTATCTGTTATCTTTCCCTTCCATATTGTAATTTTCAATACAGAATAACAGAGTTGGAAGAGTTCTTGAAAGTCTTCTAGTCCAACCCACTGCTCATGCAGGAAACCCTATACCATTCCAGATAAATGTCTGTCCAATCATTTCGTCTACAAAAAAAGAAATTGATGACGTGATCACAGAATAATTGTATCTTGTTGCAGTTAAGGTTAAATATAAATTAAATGAAATCAGATATAGATTTTGCCCTAGACACACCATTTTTGCAGTGTTGATCCAGTATGAGATTTCAACGTCCAGTATAGCTTTTGTACAGGAACTGATGGGAGTGATTTAGCAACTTACATGAAAATAAATTGTGTGCAAATGGTATATTATAATACCTGCATTAAAATTGAAAATGTACTTCCAAAACCTAGAATAGAAAATAATGGCCCTTATTGCTTTAAGAAATATCTTGAATATATGCCTACAAGGTCTGCTAAAAAAATCACTTGCTAGAAATTCCAGCAGTCTAAGTGTATAGCTTGTGTATTCAGCATAATTTTATCTGTATATATGTGATGATGAAATATACATTGAGTTTTACAGCCAGATCAAAGTATTTCTCTGAAATAAATAAAGTATTCTCTTGCAATTATAAAGCTCAATCTCTATTTATCAACTTAAAGTGATGGTTTTCATCAACTGAATATAATCGTGGGTTGACCATTGCTTAATTTTGAGTGCTTGGAATTTATTTTGGCGGGGGGGGGGGATTGGTTATTTATATTTTATTTTGATTTGTTTTATTACGGTTTACAGTTAGATAAGCCTTTGTTATTGCAGCTTTGCTAATAGAGATCCTGATATGGTACATGCATAATCATCCTATATGTAGTTTTGATCTTGTTTTTGTGATGTGTGCAAAATGGGCAGTCATTTTGCACACATTCTTGTAATACATGCTGTATTTAAAATTTATATAGCAATAGCACTTAGACTTCCCAGTGCTTTGCAGCCTCTTGAAGTGGTTTACAGTGTCAGCATATTGCCCCCAACAAACTGGGTCTTCATTTTACCAACCTCGGAAGGATGGAAGGCTTAGTGAATCCTGAGCAAGTGAGAATTTACATGTATGGTAAAAAATTTAAGGATACAAGTAGATCATCTGGGCAGTGTACTTCCTAGTTACTGTAGGTTTTGGTGGATCAGCCTGGTTGTGAGGCTTCATATGGATTTCCTGTAGCAACAGACTTCTTTGCAGTGATTTACTCAGCTGATGATGGTGGCAATATCTCAGTTGCATCATATGACTCATACTGATTTCTCTGCATTCTCTTTCACAATGTTGGGAGAGTATCCTGTTGGTTGTGCTGGTGCAGATGATCATAGTTTTGTACCCCATTGGCCACTAGAATTTGCTGTGAGCTGTGCAATGCCTCTTTTGTGATCTTCCTGGATGGGCCTTTCATCAGTGAAGCAACTGCACAGTACTCATGCCTTAAGAAGAGCCGAGGTGGCGCAGTGGTTAGGGTGCAGTACTGCAGGCCATTTCAGCTGACTGTTATCTGCAGTTCAGCGGTTCAAATCTCACCGGCTCAAGGTTGACTCAGCCTTCCATCCTTCATAGGTGGGTGAAATGAGGACTTAGACTGTGGGGGGCAATATGCTGGCTCTGTAAACTGCTCAGAGAGGGCTGAAAGCCCTATGAAGCGGTATATAAGTCTAACTGCTATTACTATTGCTATTGCTATAGCTGTGTCATCAAGAAGCCCCTTCATTGAGATCACAAGGATTGCAGATAGCAGAAAAGCCTGTGTCACAGGAGACAACTGTAGCTACTTCTTCCATTATCAGTCAAGCAAGTTCTCTAAAGAAGAACTCTTGCTTACTTGGAAAGTCATATGGAGCCTTGCAAAAAATTTGACTCAGTCAGATCTGCCAAGAGATACATTGACATCAGTGGAAGGACAAGACAAGAAATGTTGTACAGAAGGCAAATGACAACTAAAGGCTTTGGAAACTAATCCCTCACATGCTCCTCAGGGCTGTGTGCTCAGCCCCTACCTGTACTCGCTGTATACACATGACTGCATATCCTCTGATTGACCCAACATCATAATAAGGTTTACAGACAACACAATAATGCTGGGTCTTATAACTGGAGGGGCCGAATCAGCATACAGGGAAGAAGTCCAAAAGGTATCCACATGGTGTTCAAAAAAACAACCTACATCTAAACACCAGCAAGACAAAGAAGATGGTGTTGGATTTCCAGAAACAAAGAGAGGAACCTGCCCCACTGTATATCGGGGGGGGGGGGCGTGTGGCGAGGGTTTCCTCTTTAAAATTCTTGGGAGTGCTCATTAGTCAAGACCTCACCTTAAAAGACAACATGTCCTTGGTGGTTAGTAAGGCTCAACAGAGACTTCATTTCCTTAGAGTCCTGTGGAAAAATCAGTTGGAACAATGGCTGATGATTTCTTTCTATCGGTCCATAATATAAAGTGTTCTCACATTCTGCATAACAGTATGGTATGCTGGTTTAACAGCTGTTGTAACTTGAGGGAAAGACGCAGGAGCCATGGAATCAGAGAGTAAGATGTTTATTAGAAGATGACAGCGATTCAAAACTTCCCTGCAACGGCCAGGGTATTTATACTCGAACCCCAAAGCAACTGTCAATTGACCAGCCAATCAGAGGCTGGTAAGAGCAACTGTCAAATGACCAGCCAATCAGAGGCTAGTAAGAGCAACTGTCAAATGACCAGCCAATCAGCAGCACAGGCTGTTGCTGGGTATACAATAACAGCCACGGACAGGAAGGCACTACAGAGAGAGATCAATTTGGCACAATAAACCATTAGTTGCCCCCTAAAACCACTGGGTGACATCGCCAGGTCTGACTGTTTCAGCAGAGTAAGAAAGATACTTAGGAATGATTCACACCCCGGCCAGTGTCTTTTTTCATTTTTACCATTGGGCAGAATACACAGAAGTACAGCCAGCTGAACAAACAGCTTTAAAAACATCTTTTATTCATGGGCTGTCAGACTCCTAAACACAACATAGCACCACAAACAGATTAATATGATGAATTTCACTGTGCCAGTGTAGTGTGTAATATGTATATACCATGATATAAAATCATACAGCAGAGTAATAGACATGTTGCCCAGAATATGACATACATATGGAAATGTATGACTAGTTTTTTCTCCTAACTACTTATATAAGGATTATTCTTCATATTACTCATGTTGTCTTGTATTCTTGTATGGATTGCACTAGTAGAGGCTAAACCAATTTTGTTGTATACATGATGTACAATGACAATAAAGGTTTTGAATTGAATCAGTTCCCATAGACTCAAGTTCTTTATTATTCACAGTTTTATGGTCTTCATTTTAATGTTAAAATGAAACATGCCCCCTCCCAAATAATGAGTCTCTGCTGATGTTATATATACTGTAATACCAAGTATGAACATTTCCCACTTGCAATTTTTTTCCCTTGCAAATTCATTCGATACCCATTGCCATTCACACAAAGTCATTATAACCTATTACTGAATTCATCTATCTTCCTAGGTACCCAAGGAAACTTCACTAAATCTTCAGATGCCTTTGCCTTTGAAGAAGATAGCAGCAATGATGGACTGTCCCCAGAGCAAGTTAAAAGTGAGGATTCTCAGGGGTCTACAGAATTGGCAACAAGAATCAAAATACCTGAAGCAACATTTTCTTCAGTGTCTGGGACAACTCAGGTAAAATAATATTTGGTGCAGATGTTTCACGTTTCATATCCTATTCAATAACAACTAGTTATTATTATTTTTTAACCTTTCAAAAAATAACTTTTTTATTATCCTTAAATTGTGTGAAAGCCAAATAATAATAATAACGGGGTCTGGTTGAGAAAATGAGGTTTGAAAGTTCAGTAATAGTTAACCTTGACTTAGAGTGACTTCATAGCTTAGAACCTGTTTTGAAGTGTATCTCAAGAATGTGTATCCTGCCTCTTTAAATAAAGTCATTTTATGCAAGCATCTTTGGCCCCAGCAGTCTTGTGCAAGAAAAATGTTTTGCCTCTCACCCCTAGAGGCAAGTTTTTAAGAGAGTGTTTAGATAAAATTGGGGAAAATCTTGAACAGCAGTTTTAAAGAAAAGTTCTGGGATGGGGAGTCCAACCAAAGTCCAAAATACATTTGCTGCTGTATGTAAAATGGGTGGATACATTTTAGCAAGAATTCTAGGGCCCAAACGTAGCTTGGAAAATGATTGGAATTCTTTCCAAATTTGAGGAAAATAACTGGATCATATCTAGCTTAACAAAAAAATGAGCCTGGGATTGTTTGACTCAATCTATAAACAGCTTTGGACACTGCAGTAGTGCAGTTGACATGGAATGTTCTAAGCTTTGACAGTATAATGAGTCTAGAGTGATCTCACTTTCCCTTTCTCTGTGATGACAGAGGCTTGGGATGACTGGTTTGCCACCTGGTAAGAACCACAGCCAGGAAAGACTGAGTTAGTAGTACATGGTTATTAGCTTGCCATTACACTTCCCCCAGTTTCCTGTCTCTCATCTCTTTGAAACCATGGTCATAATGGTTTATCTCCATATCAGTATGGTCATCATGGTAATTTCTCTGTTTGGTTATTTATTATATATTTTAATATGTAAGGTGTGGAAGCAGAAGACAATATTTCCCCCTCTCCAATTTAGTGTGAAGAAAAACTGTACTTGTAACGCCAGTTTTTTATTTTCTCTGTGTTAGAAAGCCTCAGATTAAACAAAAGCAAAAACAGTTTTACTCAGAAGAAAATTCCATGAAGTGACTATAACATATGCAGTATAACAGTTGCAAGGTAGATTGTTAAATTGATATATGACTGCTATAAATTTGCTTTGCTCTGATTTTGGTAGAATCTACAGGTTCTAGTATATACACTTGGTCAAATAAGCATTTTTAATATTTGAATTTCAGCTGAGTTTGTGTCTAGCTAAGAAGAAGGGGTTAGTAGACTGTCATTTTATGCAACATGAATTGTCATGGTTTACTTGTCAGATTGACAATTACTTCTACTTGCTAGATTAAAACTGATATGATATGACAAAGCTATTCTTGGATATTTTAATCACCTACTGCAGGTTAGATTGCAGAAAGTTGTGAATATTATGCTCAATCACATCACAGTTTGGAATTTGTCTTGCTCAGTAGTAGGAGAACTGAAATCCCATTCAATTTACTGTCTCATTGAGAGGATTAATTAGATTGTATAATGTATTACTTCTTACATGAGAAGTTGTTTTGCCCATTTTGCTGAATTACCGGCCCATCATCTCAAATTACTTTATAGCTGATGGCCTTCATTGGCAGTCTTGGATTATCTCAAAAGGCTAAGGAAAGATCTGGTTAATATTCAGATGGGATTCTATCTGGGGATGTCAAGGATGTTGATGACTAGAAAATGGAAAAACATCCTGGGAAAAGGCAATGGCAAAGTACTTCCATATTGCTGCTAGGAAAACCACACAGAAACATCCAGGAAGTCACCAAGAGTAGAGCTTAACACAAAGAAGATCTTATCTTCCTTTGGGACAGTGCACAGCTAATATCTGTATACAAATGGTAGTCATTTTTCCCATCAGTACTCTTAAGTATGGTTTGGGAAGAAAAGATACCTTACAACCAATATAGTAAGGATATTTCTCATCAGCCTCATTGTTATATATTTTCGTAATTTGCCTTCATTTTAAAATAGCATTCAGAATTAGCTATTCTAACCCACAGAAGAAGGCAAATACAAGGTATGCATGTAAAGGTGCAGTACATGTCAAAATTCTCTAAGGGCACTGTAACCTGTGCAAGAAGTCATCCTTAAGGTCAGCCTTTGGTGATTACATAAAACATGGAGGTGTCCTGCAAAGGATCCCAAGCCACTGTTAACCTGAACACGACATATTCTTGGCTAGTGCTGCTCTTCTTCATTCCAACAGCTTTGTTACACAGTGTACTTGGCATGGGGCATCTCCATTTTCCAAGCACTTATGGCAGGGAGCCCAATAATCTTCCATTTGGTTTCCTAATAACACCAGCCTGATAAATGTGATTGGTCTTAGTACACATATTACTTATAGGAATAGTGTAACAGGCCATCCAAAGTCATCTGCAAAAGGTATTGATTATGGTGAATATCCCAAAAATGTTGTTTGTATGTACACTTGTATATGTGAATCATTTGGCAACATGGATTTACTTAAACGTATGCAAGCTAAAAGATGATCAGATTTTCACAGTATACTTCATCACTCTCACGGGTTGTCATGCATATCAGGCTACTCTACTTATTGCTTAATTTTGATGCAAGGCTGCTTTTGCTATGACTCCCCATAAGGATTTTCCTAATTGTACAAAGAAGTTATAAACTGATACATAATCAATGTGTTATGCTGCATGGAGAATTACCAAATAAAAGAATACCTCAAGGAGGTAAGATAATGTATAGATTCAGCCTGCACATATCAGATTCAATCTGTGAGGTACAATAGTTAAACACAGACTGTTTAATCAAGTCCCTTAAAGTGAACATATTTGTATTTGCAGAACTCCAGCTATAGAATATATAACACACATATGATTTGAGTGTCAACTATATAAGAAAGAGAGAGACTGGCATCTTGAACCACATATTAGACAAACAAGATCCTCATATTAGAACTACATATTTCATATGCGGTCAGAACTCAAAAATCACATACCACACACCCCTTTATCTGAATAAAACAGCTTAGTTGGGATCTACATATGTGGGTCTGATTGGGGTAAATTGTAGAGATGTCTCAATGATCTAATATTTTATTCTTTAGTTTATCCTTTTTATTTAACCTGTTTCTCATATTCCACTTTTATATATAGTTCTATTGTGTCATATATTATGTTTTATTCTGTATTTTGATATGTCCCATGAGCCCATATATAGATTGAGCCCTTACTACAATTTTAAAAAATGGAACAAAGGCAAGACAATCAGCTATCAATCCACCTAGTGTAGCTCACTGATATATACTTTCATAAAATGCCTATCTCTACCAATCTTCATGAAACTACCTACTTTGATGGCATAATTGTCACATGCATTTTCAATGCTTTTTTGTTTTTTTGTTTCAGGGCCATTCCCATAGTTCTGAAAATGATATGGCTGATTCATCATCTCTGCAAAATAGTCACCCAGAAAGTCCAAAAGAGCTCAATGGGCAACAGACACCTCCTATTCCTATTACTACATCTGTAAAGGTATGTTAGTATCTTTCATAATTTAGATAAAAGGAGACAAGTGTTGACCAACTAGAGCATAACCATGGTTGCTCTGAAAGAGAAATGCTGGTTTTAAAAGTCACTGGAATATTTCTGAAATTATAGCCCACAAATATGACTACTAAGGCAATTTTGCATAATTAATTAAGTGGAGTAATTGATCAGAAAGGCAGGGATGGCAGTTAGTGTTATATAGATGCATCTTTTTTGCCCTGCTGTCATTCATGAAGCGGACAGATTTAAGTTAGGAAGTTCAATTTAGCTATTTAAGGAGGCTTAAATACCTTCACTAAAATGCAAGAGTCCCATTGCCATTTTGAATTATTTTCCATGTTCTCCTAAATGGCAGCAGGTGGAAAATCAGAATATATGAAAGGAACCTGCACCTAATATTATGTGAACATGGTGCCAGTTGTTTTATGCGCTGAACTGCATATAAAAGGAGGAAGAGTGAATCAGGTTTCTCTTACTGTATATTCCTCACCCATTAATTTGAAGCTCAAAGGCTTTTGTGGGTACTGAATATCAGGGCTAGTCCTCCAGAGAATCCAGACTTAGCAAGAAATGGGTTAATTAGATAGGCCTTTCAAAAGCTCTGGGTTCCAACTGACCTTCCTGATATTTTTTTGCATGGAACACACACAGTCAAAATCTTCAAGTGATAGTAAGAATCGCCACAAAAAACCCAAGGAGATGAAGCCCAAAGTGAAGAAGCTAAAATATCACCAGTACATTCCACCAGACCAGAAGGCAGAGAAGTCTCCTCCTCCCATGGACTCTGCCTACGCCAGGCTACTGCAACAACAACAGCTCTTCCTGCAGCTCCAGATCCTTAGCCAGCAACAGCAGCATCGGCACCAGCAGCAGTTCAATTACCCTGGATCACATTCCTCTCAGCTAAAGTGAGTTGCTGGTGGAAATGTTTTTCTGTCTTCCTGGGTGACCATTTATAACAGAGCTATGCCACCATTTGGTGGTATGGCTGATTAGCATTCTTTAAATATTAGACTTGCATGTTATAAATATTCCTACTACATTCATTGGCACACTGGAAATGAAGGATCAATAGATATCCAGTGGGTTTGGATGCCCGTGCTACAAGAAATAAGAGTTTGGGGTTTAGGACTAGGAATTAATTCTTCTGTAGCTTGGAGACCTTGGAATAAGCCTTTTAAGGCAGGGGTGTCAAGCTCAAGATCCAGCCCACGGGATGCTTCAATCTAGGCCGCCCTGGAAACAGCAAAGCACTGATCTGTGGTGCCTCTGCCAGCAAAAACAAAGCTCCATTTTCACTGGCAGAGGGTTGCAGGAGCCCGTCGCAGTTGAAAATGGAGCTCGGGAGCCCGTTTTTATTGGTAGAGCACTTGGGCAACCACAGGCGCCCCAACACGAGTGATGTTGAGCTGGCCATGCCCCCTAGCCACACACACCCTATCCCACTTGAGGTCAAATACAACCCTGAATACAGCCCTCAATAAAATCAACACTCCTGTTTTAAGGTGAGCACTACAAGTCTGTAGTGGGCCAAAGCATCTCTCTGTTTGAAATTCTGCTAAAGTACTACTATTTTGTACTGAAATCTCAGGAAAAAAATGATAGTGAATGCATAATAAAACTAGGATCGAAACTGATATATTGACAATTGACATTGATTTAGAAACAAAAGAAGATATCATAGTAACAAATGTTACTCCTGTTTTCTTTAGACAACTGAATGAGCCTAAAATCTCAGGCTCTTCCCCTATGACAATCACCAATAATCCTCTTTCTCCAGTGAAGGGAACCTTTTCTGGGCCATCTTGCATTTCATCCCTCAAACCAGGTCCTCTCCCCTCCAATCTGGATGACCTTAAAGTGAGTATTATGCGCAGAGTATGGTTTAACAATGTTGGAAGACACAGCAAGTTGTAGAAGGCTTAATTATCGTTTATTGAATCAATTGCAATGGCCCTCATTTGCCAAAGGCTGAACCAGAAACTGAAACTTATTGTATATTCCAGAGCTATCTTTTCCTGGGCTTATATGTGACTCCTGGAAAAAGTACGCCTGATTTTGACTCTAGATCTTTGCACAGTCTTAGAGTCAATGAACTTATTTGAATTCTAAGGTAACTTATCGGAATTCTGGTTACCTCAGCTAAAATACCTTGACATGACTTCTTTGATCCACATTCTGCTTTTCTTTTACATAAATTGGTTGATGTACATCTAGAAACTCAGCATTAGAATCATCCTGACATATATGAATAATAACACAGGCTGAATTTAGACAAATATATGTAAGACAAAGGCATTCATTCTTAATTCAGACTCATTACTGTACACTATGATTTGATTATTCCAAATAATTCCAAAATTATAGAAATCCATTGGAAATGACAAGATTGTACAAGTTTCCCCAGTTTAGAGTTAACAGTTAATAGCAGTTTCTCTGAAGGCTAGGTAATAAGATCTCTCAGTCGGAACAAATGATTCTAGATTTAGCTTTTGTTTGGCTAAAACAGTCTGATTAAAAGAAGTTTCTTTTTCAACAACAAACACACAATAAAGTAAAAAATGAGGTTGGCACTAATGAAGCCATTTTATCACAGGTGTCAGAATTAAGACAGCAACTCCGAATAAGGGGACTTCCTGTATCAGGTACAAAAACAGCCTTGATGGAACGTCTTAGACCCTTTCAAGAGTGCAGTGGGAATTCAGTGGCTTCTTTCAATGAAATAACCACGGTCACTTTCCCAGTAACCCCAACAAGCTCTCTCTCCAGTTATCCATCACAGTCTTCTACCAGTCTGTTATCCAATGGCTTTTACCATTTTGGCAGCACTAGTTCCACTCCGCCCATCTCTCCAGCTTCCTCTGACCTGTCAGTGAGTGGCTCCTTGCCAGACAGTTTCAATGAAGGACCAATGTCTTCCCCTCAGTTTGTCTTGCACCCCTCACCTGTGCAAGGTGGTTGTGAGGAGAACTTGGTGGGAAGCATCAACGGAGTTGGTATCCAGCATGATGTCGAAAGAGTTGACACAGAGAAAGACAAAATGCTCGTGGAAAAGCAAAAAGTAATCAATGAGCTGACTTGGAAATTGCAGCAGGAGCAGAGGCAAGTGGAAGAGTTGAGAATGCAGCTCCAGAAGCGCAAAAGAAGCCATGGACTGGAAGATAAGCAGCCCCCAGCACATGTGTTTGGTTTTCCAGTCAAGCAGGAGAATGCAGTGTCCAGCTGCCCATTTGCCTCTAAGCAAGCTGCCTTGAAAGGTAAGGCTAGCAATTCTGAGGCATTAAGTAACTGTGGGACACCTCAGATGCCTCATCTTGTAAATAGCCATTGCATGGAACCTTCTGGACAAAATGGCATACTCTCCTCCACATTCCTAAGCCCACAGTGCTCTCCTCAGCATTCTCCACTAGAGGCAGCGAAGAGTCCTCAACATATCAGCCTTCCACCCTCACCAAACAGCCATTACCTTCTCTCCATGTCTCCTAGCCATCAGGGAGAAGGACGCAGCAGTTCTCCACAACCCCCCAGCCGCCATTTGTGCACAACTCTGGTAAGAAAGTACACATATTTTGCCTTTGTAATTTACTCATTGGCCTTTTAATAGTCAGTGCAAGCAATTCAGTAATAAGAGTCCTATTTTAAAAGGACGTATTTCTGGGGGGAAAGTCAGGGAACCATAACCACATCACTATTTCCAGTGACGTTAGATGTAAAGAAACAGCTGCGTAGATATACTTATAATACTTGGACAACTGTATACAAAATCTCTCAAAATAGGCAGATCCCAGGTTGTTTGGGGCTTTAAAATATAAACATGACACTTTGAGTTCAGTCTGAAAATAAATTGGGAGTTAGTGCAGATATTTTTAAACTGGTGAGATGGGTTCCAGGCATTGTTTCAGCACCGAATAGAACCTCCATTATTGAATGTCTTCCTTGGATCAGTTGGAAATGGAGTTGGTTTTATGGGTTACGTGAGGGTGAAAACTAAGCAAAGTTTTCCTTGCATCACTTCAGTAAGATTGTATCAGGGTGGAAAAAGTATTTTTGGCAAGATCTGGGTTCATATTTGTTTTCGTTCCTTGGGGTTGCATTAAGCTATGATTGACACCAATATGTAAGATGTTTCAGCTCAGGGGACCTCAGGTGCAGCTGCCAAGGAACAGAGATTCGATTGGATTCCTACTGTTGATTTTGCTTCCATATAGGTGCCGACACAAGGGGGCCCAAAGTATTCCGTTCTGTCTGCCAGCTTTTGTAAATCAAGTACTGCTCTCCCAGAGGGAAAACAGCCTCCACCTTATGCTGATGCTGTAAAACAGGTAATGGTCCATGATGGTATTTTAGGGCTGTGCTTGGCTACAGGTGGTTTTTAGCATTGTACTCTTTCATCGCAAAACACAATCTGTTGCAAGGATTTTTAAAAGTCTGGTCCTTAAATAAAGGAGTCCTTTTATTTTGAATGCATAAAATAAATACATGGATTTACTGCATAATATAAAGGAAACCAATTGTGCTCAAATACAACTATCAAACTATTAAATATGTAATACAGAAATATGTTTTTATTAATCCATTAAATTAATAACACAATATTCTTTTTTAGTTTTAATACTTTTAGCTAGTGATATTTCTTGAAATTAAGAAATTTTATTGCAGTCTAGAGGTCATAGATTACTTTGTTGTCAACGTACAAGCTAGTAAAAATAAAATTGTAATATTTTCCAATTCAGAGGAAATCAGGAAGGAATCCACAAATCCCAGGTTAAAAACACCTGATCTATGTGGCCCAGGCAGAGTGGGGGGAATCAAACAATGACAAACCTGAAAATCTGAGACACATGCTCAACTTGAGCAGTGAGTCTGGGCTAGCAGCAGCGAATTTACTAAAGGATAAGTGATTCTTCCTCTGGAGTTACAGGATTATTAACTTTAATTTATTTGGTCAATGAAGTACAGATAATTGGAGCCATTCCTTTGCAGTCCTTTAAGGCTTCTTACTTCATCTAGCTTTCAAACCCCGACTTTATAGTAATGCTGGTATCTAGTTATCTAGCTGTTCTGGATCCAGTTTGTCATAGTGTGACATTGCAATTTACAGAATTAAAATAAAATTTAAACCAAGGAATTAAGCCAATTTTTTTTTATTAGAGGTGAAATAGCCCTGGATTGCATTCACTTGAGTCATCTAGACTCTTTCCTCCCTCCCCCCCTCCCTCTCACAGAGAGGTTACAACCCACATAAATAAGAACTGTAAATCCACTGGAATTATTTCTTAGTAACTATGAAAAGGATGAGGTTGAATATCTTAGGGAATCCAGGGAGGGGTTTTCATTCTTGTTTAATATTTGAAAAATGGGACATTAAATAATGCACCATAGGGCATATTAACTCCTGGGTCACATGGGCAATACTATTATTAACATTTTAACATTCATAGAGTTGGTTGAGGGTTGTAGGAAAAGTGAGGCCAAGTCATACAAAAATGGTTCCCCTGGGGTTTCTTATTTTTTGACCCTTTCAGTGTTCACATTACATTGTTCATGTGGTCCCCGTCAAAATGATACTGCTAGTTTTTAGCAGTTATGATCAGCTCTGCCTCCAAGACCAGAAAAAGTGGGAGGGGGACACAGGAAACCACCTAAAGCCTTGGAAGTCACAGATTGCTCACCTGTGCACTAAAAACTGCTGATATTTATGTGGAATTTGCTTGTTACGTCAGATTTTTAATTGCAGCAACAAACACTACAGAACTATGATATCTCATTTCCTTAAGAGTGATTTCTTTTACAATAAAATATGTAATCCATTTCTTCACTTCCATATTTCATCTCCTTTTTTTTTTCTTGCTGCAGCAAATGACTCAAAGTCAGCAGATGGATGAACTATTAGATGTGCTTATTGAAACTGGAGGTAGGTGATGCCAGTAGAATGAGGCTCTTGGTTCTAACCTAGCAAAACAGGATATGAACCTCAGACTACCCACAGCAGATATTCTGTGCTTATCAGGTATGGGAAGGACTGAAATCCATCATGGATTCCATCCACTTCCCAAAGAAATATGTAAATAGCTGTTGCCTAGTTAATTTTCCTAAGCAGCATTCAATCTAAGCACACCCGGGATCTGCCTACTAGAGCAGCCATTGACCATTTTAGAAAACTGATAAGTTTTTGCCACATTTATAAGAAGAAAGAAGCAATTCTGGAAGCTTAGCTGTTTTTAGCAACTCCCAGGAATTGGTCCTAGAAACTGCTGTGGTTTATCTTGTCAATTTGTATTGACAACTTTCCAAGATTGAATAAAGGGATTTGAAATCAGTGACAACCAAAACATTATTAGAAATGTACATTGAACAACAATACAAATACTGAGAACTTGTATGCAGGAATAAAAATAATGCTGAATAAAATTAGGGAAAAAACCAAACAGTAGGTGAGAATTGGCACTTTGTAGACCAAGAGAGATGCTACAAAGGGCAAAGGAAATGACCGAGCTCTCTGAAAAATCACATTGGCATGGTCATGCGCATGGGCACCTATGTGTCTTCTGATTCTTCCTTTGGTGCACAACAGGTTATTATAGCTTATTTTTCAAAAGAATTGTTTAAAAAAACTGAAAGAAGTGGGCATACTTTGCAGATTTCTTTTGGTAGAATTTTTTATGTACACCTGTAGATTTTTTTTTTAACATTGGGTGTCTGCTGCTCACTGTTTTGCTTCAAAGTATGCCCCCAAAGGAAAACACAACACCAAAAGTGGCAAGGCATTATGGATAGGAACATTCTGTGAGGAACACTAGAAGCATTTTCTTCTGTTTGCCTTCTGTTGTGAGCACTTTATGATGTGAATGTGTAAGCCGCTCTATCAGCCTCAGGCTTTTTGGGAGAGGATCACAAAATACTAGACTCCACAATTAAACCTTTGTAAATGTTTTTCCTCACTAGCTTCTGTCTGCTCCAGTGAATGATGTAAACAACTTTAATTCCTTCATGCCTAATTTAAATGTTTTAACAATTTCTTACCCTTTGCATGCTCGAGCATGTGTACACATATCTGTACGATCAGTCCTTATTCTAATAATTCTTTACATTAAAAAGCACATCAGCTTTTTCGCTGATTCTAGGATTACAAACACCACTTATAACAACTTTGCCTTATATTAACACAGCTTCATCACTACTTTCAATTGCAGGCACTTTATATGATCTCCATGTTCCTCTCACCATCCCTTCTGTACCTCTTTGAGCTAGTATAGCAACAAGTAAGGTTTTATTCAGCCAGAACAAAAGGTTGGAATGTGTCATTGTAATGGCAGATGCTGTTGAGAAGTCCTGTTGCACAAGCAGAAGTGTATTCACTTAACCTTGGAAGTAGACCCAAAGAGGTTTTGCTCTTGACTTATCATATTTGGTTTGCAAACAGAAATGCCTGCAAATGCTAAAGAGGACCGCCCTTGTCTTCAGAAGGTACCTCAGATAACAGTGTCTTCAGGAACTTCTGGAACACCCTTGTTACTAAAGGCATCCACTGCATTTGAGCAAAACACCTCAAATCAGCTCCCCTTTGAACGCTGCTCTAGCAATGACAGTCATTTGGAAATCCTGTTAAATTCCCACAGTCCTCTTGGGCGGTCAAGTGAAGTCACCCTTCTGAAATTGGGTACTGAGGAACCTCCCTTTGACGGAGCAATGGAAGGATTTTCTAGCAAGGCTGCCGATGAATTAGTCTCACCCCATGAGATCCTGCCAACCCCCCTCTCGCCCATGGAGACTCAGTTGTCTCCCTCATCTGGTGAAGGAACTGGTTTGCACATGAGCTTCACAGAGTCTCCCTGGGAAACAATGGAATGGCTTGACCTCACACCACCAAGCTCAGCCAATGGTTTTGGTTCCCTGACCACTACAGGGCCCAGCATCTTCAACATCGATTTCTTAGATGTTACTGATCTCAACTTGAACGGCACTATGGATCTGCACTTACAACAGTGGTGATCAAAGTAAACCTTTTAAGGATAGGGAGGAAACATACCACAAGTAATTTGCATGGAAAGAATTAAAAGACTATTTTAGAATGTGCTGGAATAATGCAGAGAGAGCAAAAGGAACTGGAGTCATTTTCCCCAGGACATAATTTATCTTTTCACCATCAGTGGATTCACAAAATGATTATTTCCTTTTCTTGCTACACTCAAAATAAAGAATCCTTCATTTGTAACACAAATTCCTCCTTACCCTTTGTAAGCAAATCCAGTTGCTCCTCGTCAGTTTCAACCTCTTCCAGGAGATTCTCTATGCAAGACAACTGTACATTGCCCAAATTTGTCAGTACTAATCCTAACAGGTTTATCAAACTATATGACACTGTTATGGGCATATTTGTAGATCCCATACACTGCTTCTTGTGAACCTTTGCTCTTCATGCTTATTATATACGGATATGAACAGTTTAACTGGGGATTTCCCTAACCCACTTTTAAAGTCATCTTGCTCTGATGCATCAAGAGATCATCAACCTTTTACTATCAATTTTCAAAACTGAAATAATTTCCTAGCGTTTCCCTGAATATTTTTCTCTTTTTAAGTTTATTTATTCCTTTTGTTTTCTCAGTTTTAAAGATACATGCAGCAGACCTGAAGTAATATGATTTATTTTGTAGTGGGCACTCTCCTTGGAAAAGATTTCAAAATGGAACAACAAGAAAATGTAGAAATAAGAGGTCTTTAATTGAGTGTAATTGGAGGAGAGCCTTTGTGGCCTCACCAATGTTCTGCTTTAAAGGTACATTCCTCCTTTAATAAGTACTTATTTCATTGTTTTTATTTTTTTATTAAATTAAAATGTAAACTGTATGTATGTATATAATTTGAGATACATAAAAGTTGTAACAGTTCAGCACATAACCAGTATTCATCCATCATTCAAAATCTTTTAAACATTTAACATAAATTTTGTCCGTGATCATTAGATAGAAATTCCAAATAGCCATATCAAGAATAAATTCACCATAAGCAATAGTCTTCACCCCTTATAAGAAGTAGAAGATGAGCAAGATAAAACCTTTGAATTCAGACATTTCTATTCTTCTTCAGATTTATTTTTATTGGGTTGCCATATCTTTATGAATGTGTCAAATAGTTTTATTCAGTAATTCTCAATGTTTGTCGAATTGCCTCTTGCTTCAGTCTCTTTTCTTTTGAATTATTTGCATATATTATTTTTGCTGCCACTATGGAGCAAAATAGCAATCATGTCCTAGCCTTTTGATACCAGAGATACTTGAAGCAGCCTTGCTGGATTTCTTTGATTTCCTCAATCTACTGCAATTTCCCATGTTTCATATCTGTTGCCATTCTAGAGGATCCATCAACCCTCAAAAGTGCATCTCTGTGAGTTAATATCAAATAAGGGAATAAAATCAGGAAAGCAGAGACTGGAAGCAAAGTTCTTTTGGTTTTATCTGAATCCAAAGCTGTTACATTAATACTACAATTAATTTCTAAGTTTTCTAAGAGAATGATCTTGCTGCTGTCAGGATTATAAAATAGTGGATTGTCCACATCTTCAGAAATCTTGATAGCTAGGTTTCGAAAGAGATGATTGAAGCAGTGTTTTTGCTTTTCACTAAGTAATAAAAACAGCTCCAAAAATCTCTTTCAATAAACAAATTGTTCTCCCATGATTAGTGAAAGGTGTTGCTTCTAAGTTCTTCTTCAAACCAGCCTTATATTATGAATTTCAAATCTTATCATACCTAGCTGTGACAGGCAAAAAGTTGCAGGTTATTCATGTTTAGCAAATTCTGAATTATGAGTAACAGATAGCATATAAATTGGATTAAGATTCCTATATTTATTCAAAAGCATCCAGATTGTTAGATAACACAGCCTCATTTTGTGTATATGTGTAGCTTCTCCAGGGGATTCCAACCTTCCCTGTTTTCCATCCCATTTTCCTGTCCCGGCTGACATGTTCAAAGTAGCCATTCTTCCAGTACAGACTGTCTTACTCCATAACATCTCTCTACCCTGAATCACCAGAAATCAATCAAACCATTCCTTGCTGCCTTCTTATGGTTCAGAAATCTTATATTTGTCACTTTCTCATACAAGACAATAATAAATAAAATCTCAAATTACTGCTATTTTTCAATAAGGCTATGCTATAAAAATGTAACTGATTTGAACAATGGCAACCCCTGATAAGCTATAACTGTTCTATTTTAATGTAACTTTTATACAGTACAAAAATGGGATGAGAGGAACCTTGACTGGAAAAAAAACCTTGCTTTAATTATTGTTGTTTCTGTGTTGCTTAGACTTCAGTGAAAATAATTTCGTTTAGGCAATGCTCCATTATCGCCTATGATATGACAACCACATACCTACATTTCAGTATTTCTTCCCAAAAAAAGATTTGTGTATGTGATATAATTTGTGAAACAATGGCATCAAAAACTGTTCTTAATCTAATCACTATCTCTAGATTACATTTTATAACTTTCAATAATAGCTCCAAATATGAATAGTTTGGAGGATAGAGATAGCTTTCTGTCATGTGCTAATCCAAATTGGGCAGTTTCTTATGAATGAAAAGTTTATCTTCCATTATTTCCTTTTTTCCTTTTTTTGTGACTGCAAAAATATTGAATGCAAATTTCCCTGCATGCAAGATTTTGTAGGTTTGTTTTCAGAACTTTTTCATAAGTGTCCCTGTCAGTTGAGAACTGGAAAAAAATGTTGAAACATCTCTAGGTTTGGATAATTGGGTACATGGGTGTCCTGCATTTTTATAAACAAATCACCCAGAAGACATATCTTTCAGAATGAACCTTAAAATAAGTTGCAATTTGTTTGATCATTTCTCCATATAAATGTCATCTATCACTACCTTAGGACTTCACTCTATTTCAGTTTTGCTTATTCTCTTGTAAATGGATATTAACTATTATGCTATTATGTCACTTAAGTCTATACTTGCTTTTTCAAACCAATTACATTACTGAACTACAGACCAGCTGTGTAAATTCATTCTTCAGTGGGTTTTTTAATGTTTAAAAATCAAATACTTTGATTTTTTATTCCAAAAAGAAGAATCTAATTCAGCCTGATTCATGCTATATCCCTTAATATTTAAAGCATGCATCAAAGAATATATTGTACAATCTTAATAGTTGATATTCATTATTTAAAGAATTTTTTCTTACCATCTTAGCTGTCTGCCAAACATACCTTTTCTTTCTTTTTTCTATTTAATTTTTAAAAAGTGGCCAAACTATTACTGTTTTCCTGCAAAAGACTAAAATGTCTTTGGTAATGGCATTTCCTTTAACAATTTGGTACTAAATATATCTTGTTAACTTAAATGTTTTAATTTAAATATTAATTCATAAATAAATAAAGAAGAAATGTATACATAGGCAATGATGGATAATATATGGAAGAAATATTTAAGGAAATGTCAGTTTAAGAAATCCCTATCAATTTGGAGGACCAATTATTATAATATAATTATAATAGCTACTTTATTGTATTATGTTTATAATAATGTAACAGAACACAATAAGTTAGAATAGAATAAGAGTTGGAAAGGACCTTTGAGGTCTTCTACTCCAACCCCCTGCCTAGGCAGGAAACCCTATACCACTTCAGACAAATGGTTATCCAACATCTTCTTTAAAACTTCCAGTGTTGGGAGCATTCACAACTTCTGGAGGCAAGTTGTTCAATAAAGTGATTTATTCTCCACATAAATAAGATAGCCAGTGTGGCCCAGGGGCTTAAGATGCTGGGCTGGGAGCAAAGAGGCTGAGGTTCTACTCTACCTTCAGTCACTGATGCTTCCAGGTGACTTAAAACCATCACTTTCTCTTAGCCCAACTGGTTTCATGGGGTTGTTGCTGTAATGGGGGATGGGGGAGGGGAATGAATGCTAATGCTATACCTGTCCGGTGGGACTAGTCTATTAGGGCAACCTGGTCTACCAAATAATGGGACGGAGCATACGGCTTGTGTTTTTGCCTTTCAGCCCCAATCTAGGGGCCTTCACAGGCAGTCGCTTTTGCGACAAACTATTTTTGTGTAAAATTTATGTTTTACCGACAAATTTTATTTCTCCCTTTATTTATTTGTCAGTAAAACTGTCAGTAAAACTGGGGTGCACTTTATTTAGATCATTTCCTCAGCAACTCTTTTTGAGTGTCTGCTAATAGTTTCCCTATCTACATAATTAAAATAACTTTTTATCTTAGACAGGAAGGAAAAACAAATTGTAGAGAGGTCCATGATACGGCTATCCTAACTGGTCTGCAACCAGTGTGACCACCACTATTTAGCTAGTGGGCTCAGGGAGAAATATGCTGCAATCCCAGGAATTTTGCAGTACTCCCCACTGACTGAGTGAGCAAACTTAATTCACTACAATTCTAATACCAGCCCCAAACAGCTTACGAAAAGAGTAATCCTCATTTTTGTATTTTTTTAAATTCTAATATTCAGCTCCGGTCCCTCCAAATGCCTACCAAGTGTCACCCCAATGCTTGAGACATACCCAAAGTATCAGCTCTGGTACCTCTGTGGATCTAATAGGCTTGGAATGATGGCCCTAAGCATATCTACTGGGTGAAAAAAATGATAAAAAGGGGGAAGCTATGTTAACTTTTTTGACCACATCCTGCAGACACCATCTTTGCTTTGCCTCTTCCCCATCTAGAATACAAATGGAACAAGGGTGCTAATATTGACCTTCTATTTTGAGAAAGTAGTGCAAAAATAAGTATAAGTTCCAACACCAGTTCCTTCTTTTCCATATGACAAAGCAACATTTTTTATTCCTAGAGTTACAAATGATAGGATTATATGTATATGTAAGAGAGTGGAAGAGAAAGATATGTATCTTTCAGTAAAATAGTGTTGAAGAATTCTGATATTTAGTAAGAATATGCAAGACTTTTGGGAAGTATTTTAACAGCAGAAACAATTGTCAATAAACCAAGTGAACTTTCCTAACTTTCCACCAAGATGTTGGTTTGTGTATCTCATACATTCTTTCTTTAGCAGAGGTAGCAAAATAGGCAAATGTGAAATGATTGCAGAATTTAAAGCAGTATTAAATAAGGTTGTGCACTGAAAGCTATCAATTTCCATTAGCATATAGACATTAGAAGACAGATGAACCAGGACTTTTCCCATACAAACTCAATTTTAAGCACCAAGCCTTAATGAGAGATGCTATTTAAGGCTTATGAGAGATGCTATTTAAACTCAGAAAATAAAATGTGCATGTTGGATAATGACACATAAGTCTGTGAATGTAACTTGATACAATAAATCTGTACTCAGCATCACTAAGCTATCCCTAGAATGTCACATGTGTCAATAGGGCAAAACCTAGAAAATAGTAAGACAGATTTTGGTTTTTTTTTTTTAAAAAAAGCTATGACAAGCCCTGGCTAAATAGACTAAACCTTAGGAGGCCTAGCTAGAGGTTTCCAGGACCAAAATTTAACAAAAGTAACAGCAAATAAAAACAATGTTCTTCGCATTGATGCAAAATTTCAAGAAGTTTCAAGGAATAATAAAGTGGATGCATTTTAAGCATTAGCATAAGCAACATTTTTAAACCAAGCAATACTTGGTATTGATAGAAAAGCAAAATCTAAAACAAAACTTTCCATGCTTACTTTTATTTTTAAAAAATCCTTTTTTCCTACTTCCAAGGAAAATTACTCTTCTCATCCATCACTTTGAGTGTATTCGGAGCAGTGGTGAGTTCTGGGCGTCGTCCACATGGATGTGCGCAGCACGCGCCCGAATGTGTCTTACCATCCACCAACGCCTCCACGACGCTCACCGGAGCGTCACGCAGGGGCTGTACACGCAGTGCGTGTGCGCATAAGCACCGAAGACTTTAAAGGATAGGTAAGGAGCTCGGGCGGGCAGGTGGGCCCTCCAGAGCACCATACTGGAGTGGTACCCAGTGCTCCGGGCAGACTCCAGTACGCCCGTACTGGGGCGTACCGCCTGCAACCCACCACTGATTCAGAGCTACATGAAAACAAGAGTTTTGCAGGGTAAAATCACTTTAGCATCAACACTTGGCTGTCTTCTATCCCAATCCACTTTGAACTATTTAATTCAGTTTTAAGTTGTCACATGCTTTATTCCCTGTAACAATACACCTTCTGACTAATATCTTTCTTGTTTTCTTACATGCATCGTTCATTTTAGCAAATTGAAGGTATCCTTTTCCTATTTAGTTTTTGCTACCATTAGACCATGTGCAGAATGATTATGCATAAGAAACAAAACAGAAGACAAAGATAAGGACATTCAATCTTATCCAATAATTGTATTATGTTGTTAGAAATAATGGAAGTAATGAATCAAAACTCCAGATAGAACTTTAACTACTGTCAATTTGTCTCTAGTCCACCTCCTCCTTCATATGATTTTAGCTACTGCAAAGGCAAATTTTATTTAATGTCAGTCAGTAACCGTCTTGATGTAAAATTCATACCTTTTCTTTAAAAATCATTTTGTTTCAAATCAAGTAAAATCAGTTGACCAGTAATGCCACGAGACAGGCTGAAAAGTCTCAAGAATACCTCAAAAATCTTGATTGTCTTAAACCCAGACAAAAGCTAGATAAATCCCCACTCAAGCAGCACAATCCCATGTGTTTCTCTTTGGATGTATGAAATGGTAGAAACAAGGATATTTCTGCCACCCTTTATAGGTTTGAGTTTTATGCTACTTTTTCAAAAGCAGTTAGATACCAATCAAGTGAACCAATATCACCACAGGAGCCTTTGGAAAAATAGGTGCAATAGGCAGCTTATATGTGCTTCAACAATGCAAAAGACTTGCTCATTTCTTGCCTTGAGTGAAAATGTTTGTCACAGTACTTTTCTTGTTATGTGGATTGGATTCTCCGATGGAAAAAAACTAACAAGGCCTTCACAGGTACTGTACATACCCTGCATAGAATTATTCATAGTGAGTGAATAACATGGATGATTTCCAAATGTAGTCAGAGCTGGCAATCTTCCTGGCTGATTTTTAAAAAGTCTTCAAACAGCGAACAGGGATTTCTGTTTAAGCCACAAGACACTGACCACTGGCATAGTGCTTCATACCTCAAAGAACTAACTTTGAAAATAAGGTAAATAAAGCCTATTCTACACCCTTCTGATCTATTCCTCAACTATAGGTTTATTAGATTTCAAGCAGTAGGTGATATTTGTTGAGAAATACATTTCTCAAGAAACTCAATCTAATCTTTACTAGGTCTTCAATTGATCTTTTTTACTAGAATCCAGTAAGCGCTCTTTTGCTGTAACAGATGTGCAGATCCCCCCCCCTCCCGATTTTCTATAACGGAGCGGAATAGGATAGGATATAGCATTTTTGTGATAGATGGGGTAGTGGTGTCCTTGAGTCCTTCACTACTAATAGTTATGTAGACGGAGATGGGATATGGTACATACATGTGTAAAATGAGTACTTAAAGCAGTTTTAATCTTGGTGCTATTAGGTATGTGATAACTTTAAGAATATATGTAAACCTCTTAAAGAATCAGTAGCACTAATTGATACCCATAGTGATACATTTGTCAATGGAAATGGAAAGCATCAGTAAAAGATATTTAAAATAAATACATCTGTGTATTTATTAAGTAACTGTAAAACCATTTAATCAAATGAAGCAATTCTATGCTTAAAATCAAATGGAATGCTAAACTATGTTACAAATTCATTCAAGGTGCCCATGAAAAATGTTGTGCTCACAAACTGTGCATGTCTATGACAGTAATAAAGCTTTGGTTTAATTTGTATGGGTTCACAAAGGCTTCCTCCACTGTGATCATCAAATGGAATGAAGAACTTATTTCCACTTCAGTATGTAAATGTCATTACATTTAACCTTAAAAGAGGAGCTCAGTATGAACACTGGGTAACTGCTAAAGAAAGAGATATCCAAGATCTAGATTCCCATTTAGCTTTGTGTTTTGACAAATTATTTAAGCCACCATTCCTGGTATGCAAATTGTTAAGAAGCCAGGATTGACATCACGATTTCTGGTTTACTCCTCCTGTTAGATTTACAAGAGGAAGAAAAGAGAAGGAAATATTTTCTATATTTTATTGTGATGATCTAGAAAATCCCATTTAGGATATTTTAGAGGCAGTGTATGTGAATCCACATGTGAAAAGGAAAAGTTCACTAGATATCTTGCAATAGTAGTCATCAATTACTACTTTGGTTTTTCTCATAAATCTAGACACAGAATTCAGAAGGTTCTATGGCGGGGTGATAAACAAATAATAATAATTTAAATTCGTCATTACTATTTCCTGAAGCTTTGTAAAATTAGGTTTGGAACCTAAAATTCATTATGTTTACCAAATGAGTGTACCTACTATAGGATTTGTGTGTGTGAGTGTGTGTGCGTGTGTATCATCAGCATATAAATAAAAGACTGTGTGCCATCAATATCTTCATGAGGAAGATTAGCAGAACGACTGTTTGCAGACTTCAGTATCCGTAAAACTATGGGCCTGTTAAGATGATCAACTTCAATGGCTGAAATAGGGAAAAGGTTAACAGTTGCTGCATGTTAAAAATGTTAACTGTCTGTAAAAATCACTATTTAACGCATGAGTTTTCGATTGTACAAATGTTCACAGTGCACTAGTAGCCAGAATATTCTTTCACGTGCTTATTTTTTTTTTTAGTTTTTATTGTTAATATGCAAAGAAGTTTGAAGTCATTCCAATGAGACTTTTTAATAGCACTTGAATCCAGAAGTTTTAGGTGCTACACTGTTGTGCGGTACAGAACTTTAATGCCAGCTTTATCCTTATTTAAAAGGATGCTGTTAAACTACGGAAAAAAACCACACTGTAAATAAATACACTGCTTACCTCTGTGACCAGCACTGCTGTACTTATTAAACGAATCCTGTGATGTCACACTAGCTTGTGTTTTAATGTTATTTTGTCATGTCAAGTCTTATAGTACACGATGTTCCATTTCCATACAGTATTACTTTAATTTCTTCTGTATCCTATCCAAATGACTCAGGATGGATTTTTATATTCACCTTGAAGGAAGACAGCCATGTTTACTGCTGTTAAAAAGATTGGACTGGAAAAAAATCCATCTGACTCCACTGCTATTTTGTTAGTGAATCTTAAGAAAAAATACACATTTAAGGAGAAGTTGTCCAGGAAAAAAATAACAACACTTCTGTGATCTTAGTATAATCCTAACTGGCAGGCCAGTCACATCAATTTCTACTCTCTGAATGCTAAAGGAAAAGTAGAAATGTGGTTAACTCCTTCACAATTTTTCTTTTTTAATTTTTCCTCTTTCCATGCCCTCCGCATTGCTCATATAATAAACTCAGGCTTCGATAAATGAATTAAAATTATTTCAGTGCCTTTTGTTGAAACCAATTAACAAAAAGAAACCCCAAATCCCATCAGACATTGACAGAGGGAACAGTAGTGATAAATGGGCTATATAGCACTACCAAATACAAATGGGATTTGGGTAACCCACACAAATAATAAAACGAGTAAATGGGATCTAAATAGTGCTGACTTAGGACCAAGAATTGTTTTAATGTGTTTATAAATTATATGGAATTGGGTGTGACTAGTGAAATAGCCAGATTCGCTAATAGCATTAGTCAAAATGGTAAAAAACTTCAGGTGATAAACAAAAAATAAACAACTGCAGAGTTCCATATTAGGGAGTGGGCATCTCAACAGATGTCATTCAGTGTGGGCAAGTTATGCAAGCTAATGCCAAAAATCTCAACTATGCAAACAAATTAATAGGACCAGAGCGAGCAGTGACAATGAATATGTTGACATAGTGACATCAGGAAGGGAATCCGACCAATAAACATTCTAATCCATCCAGTTGCCCCGACTCTCCCGAATTAGCAATAACACTTTTATACTATTTCACAGTGCTTTACATTCCTCTCTAAGCGGTTTACAGTCAGCATATTGCCCTCAACATATTGGATCCTCATTTTACTGACCTTGGAAGGATGGAAGGCGGAGTCAACCTTGAGCTGGTAAGAATCGAACTCCTGGCAGTCGGCAGAATTAGCCTGCAATATTGCATTCTAACCACTGCGTCACCAGGGCTCTGAGAATTAAGGGATTAAAAAGTCGTAAAAAGGGAATTTTAGTGTACATTTGCTGTTAAAAAAACCCCAACATGTTAAAGATAATAAAAACTGGTATTAAAAATAGAGATTATAATGTTATAATGCCCTTATGTAGATTATAATGCCCTTATGTAGATCAATGATGTGACCACATCTGAAATATTGTGTGCAGCTCTACAAGTAGTCTTTGCTTATCCACTGGTCGCTTAACAACTATTTGAATATACAGAGGACAGCAAAATACATACTTACAACTAATCCTCAAAATTACAACTTCGGGATACATCTGTGGTCGCAAGATCACAGTTTGGGTGCTTGGCAACCAACTCACATTTACAACTGGTTGCAGTGTCCTGGGATCACATGACTGTAATTTGTCACACACTCACACTCACAGTCACACACACACACACACGGTTTCTGGCAAAAAAAAACCTACCCATGTATTTGAGAGAATGGATGCACTTAACAACTACATGATTCACTTAACTACCATGGTGACTTGATTTATGACCATTGTAAAAATGGTTGTAAAACTGAGCCAGGTCACAACCCCAAAGCCTTGTGACAGAAATTCCAGGTTCAACTATGATCATTCTGTGAGGACTATCTGTAGTTGCCATGCGTCAGAGACATTGTGGAGCTCAAGAAGTTTCAGAGATTGACGGGCAACTCAAGGAGCAACTTTGCTATGAAGAATGATTATGGCGTGAGGCTTTATAGATTATAAAGGAGGGAAATGAGAAGAGACCAGAGGTATACTGAAAAGTATACATGGTGTGTCAAAATGCAAGGGGACTAGAAGTTATTACCCCTTCTCAAAAGTTTTAGAATCAGAGATCACCCAATGAGATTGAATCCTGGAAGAATCAGGAAATATGGAAAGGGTTTCTTTTTTTACACAATGCATGATTCAACCTTGGAATTCACTCCAATGCTGGCTATCAGCTTGACTGGCTTCAAAAAAGGACTGGATTCAAGAAAATCATGGGGATCGATGGTGATTAGCTTCGGTTGCCTCTGAAGACCAGCAACTCGAAGAACAGTGAGCTTTCTTGGGGGGTATTGGTTGGCCACCATGAGAACAGACTGCTGATGGGTCAAGAGTCCAAACCAGGAGTACACAGCTCATGTTCTTATGATGCCACTGCTGAAACAGTGAAGTTTTGAGATACATTAAAAATATGTGTAAGAAATGAATTGACCATTCAAGCAATAGTCCAGTCTCAGTTGCAATAGCACTTAAGTAATGATGATTATTTAGGTGATGCATCAGCCGAAGTGGTTCATGAGGCAAGGACAAATACCTGTTTAAAACGTATCAATGATCAAATAGAGCTTATGGTTTTTGTTTAAGATGTGAAAAGAATCTCCTTAATTCCACCATCTATTTTAATTCTTCTTTTTTCAATAAATAGGGGAAACTGACCAGAGAAAGGTGGCATTTATTGATTTCCCCATTGCATACCTGACCTTATAACAAAAATTAACAAGGTCTACGTTGCATCCTTGATTTATTACAACTGACCTGCAGGCGAAAAAAAATAGAACTATTACATTAAACACTTTGATTCCATGTAGAATATCTTAAATAGAACAGGAAGTCAATTCAGGAAAAGATAAAATAGTTGGAAGCTCTTAAAAGCCATCATGTTGTGAAACTCCATTTTACTTACAGACGATTAGGCAATATCCCTGCACATCAGCTTATCAATAAACTTTTATACATTTTTTGCTATAGTACAAGAAGAAGAAAATTAACCAGAGCTCACAATGTACAGTTCTTACACTATTTTCACAGCTTCTGAACACTATACATCTTTATAAACATACACTGTAATATAAATGCTGCACCCTTAATAGTATATTATAACAATCTATGATTAATATGCTAGAACTTCCATCGCACTGAGCCTGCGTTGGAAGCTACCTCCATTTTCTGATCAACTGCATGGAAATATTCTGCTTATATAAACAAATAATAGAATTGGGAAATGGGGCTCTATAACAATTATTCTTTTTTTTGGGGGGGGGGCAAAGACAAGGAAGAGCCAACAGAAAACTGATACGTAAGGCTGGGAGGCTCTGTACTTCTTTTGCCTGAAAGGACTAAAAAGAAGAATCATTGCATTATTAAAGACCAAATTCAATTCAAACAATATCTCATTTGTGATTCCATATGTTCTTGCAGGGGCAAAGGTTCCTGTTTAGACTGATTGTTTCATGTCTTGAAAGTTTATTAACCAGTTGGTAAACTAGAAATATAAGAGTTAAATGGCTAAAGCAATAAGATCTTGTTTCCATTGTGTTGTGTCTTACAAGGGTCACTTCTTTTCCACTGTCAGTTAGAAATGAGTATTTCATCAAATATAGCTGAAGAAATTAAAACCAGTTTAATTTTATATGGCTTTTTTTCTTGGATTGACAATATTAAAATTCCTTGTTCTGTATTCTGTCCTTTGAAGAATTTAACACATTAATTCCCTTACATTACAAATATTGATTATGTGCCATCAGATGTTGACTCAGCAATTTTCTCCATAATATATATATATATCAATAAGCCATTATAAAAAACTGAATTCCATTTTCAGAATGGTATAGTGGAAATCAAATTCATCATCCAAAGTACATCAAATTAATTAGCACCATTTTGTTGTGATTTTGGAAGTATAAGTTATCTAACTGAAAGGGAGGAAGGAAGCTTATCTGCTTTGATACTTGATATCAGATAGGAAGCAGAGATCCAAATCACACCTGGAGTTCTTTAATAAGGTAAATACAGCTATTCACAACTGCAGGTCATCCAGTGTCCTTTCCAAATGTGAAAGTTAGCCAACTAATCACCAGGTTATAGTTAGAAATCAGGGATCACAAGCCAGTTAAATTCCACTGAATAGTTTAATAATTCCTCAGTTCAAAATTTTATCTCATTGGTTAACAGTTTGTAGGATACCTAATTCTGCTGAAGACTGGTTTCCATGGAAAGTGAAAGAATACATTACTCTTTCTCCCTTATAAGTTGAATTGTTAGCTCTTTCAACGCACTGAATGTTTTTGGTAAAGAAATAATCCATTTTACATGATCACTCTTTCCTCCCCCAACATTATGAAGTTCTGCTGAGTCACACTGTTTTAAAAAATATACACTGTGGCTGAAAAGCAACAGAATTTCAACTCAATCTATTGCACTTTGTGAAGAAAAATATATTTATATATATATATATTTATATATTATCCCCCGTTTGCCTTTGCTAGCTCCAGAAGGTAAAAGTAGCTCCATTTGGCTGCACAAGTTATTGTCTCCCAAGCAGTATTGTTTTTATATTTCGAAACAGACAGACCAACAACTAACTTCCTTTCCTTTAAATTATTTGTAGCAGTTGGAAGAATTTGAGAATAAAATCCCTCCAGTAGCTGCTGAGAAGTTTCTGAGTTTAGAACTTAACTTTTAGGTGCTATCCAATCATGGTCAACAAATAAAATGTTACTTATTTCCACATTTTATGTACATGTCCACAAAAAGAGCAAAACAAAGTCTCTCTTTGACTTGACACTAACACTGTGAGTTCGGGTATTACATGGATCCACTTGGTAAGTGACAATGATATACAGACAGAATGGAGGAGTAACACCAACATTATTGCACATGGTGTCTGGGCGAGCATTAAAACACTGCAATATGGGGTGAAGATTCTGTACATCTTGCTTTCTCTCAGCATTTGCTCTAGAGTTTTGATATAGCAGCAGTATCAATCAACATACATTGGTGAGCTGGGAGTTGTTGGCATTTGATCCAGGATTTTACAAACATAGCATGCAACATCCACTGTTCGTTCCTCATACATTAGAATGAAGGGATGTTTCTGGAAAGAAAAAAGGAACAAAACAGTCTCACTGTCAGTATATGTGATCACAAAAAGTTATCTATAGGACATAAAAGTATTAAATGTCTCTATGTACCTTAACTTCTATGAACTACTGCCATGATTTCTACAATTTCTTTTTAGGAAAAACAATCCTTACATGGTTTAAAATAGACATAAAACCTTCAGAATAAGAATATGTAAATAAGACATGATTTGACTGAAGCCCTTCAAATGAAGTCTTCAAGTTATTTACAATGAATTGCCATGCAGGTCTATTATCCAGGCACAGAATTTCAATTTTATAATCAAAACCTGGGGAAAAAACTGGCTTGCACTCAATGCACCATAGAGAGAAGCAACCATCACTTAATTTTATATACCGTATTTTTTGGAGTGTAAGACGGACTTTTTTCCCTCAAAAGAAAGGCTGAAAAACTGGGTGCATCTTATACACTGAATACAGCATTTTTTGCCTTATGAAACCCCGCCCCTTCACCAAAATGGCTGTGAATTGCCTTTAGGAGCCTTGCAGAATGCTCCTGGGGGCTGGGGAGGGCAGAAATGAGAGAAAAACGGGCCATTTTTTGCTTAATTTTGTCCCCCCAGCCTCCAAGAGCACTCTATAAGCCTCCTAAAGGTTATGAATGCCTTTTTTAAAACAAAAAATGGGTGTTTTCATGAAAAATGGACCACTTTTTGTCCCCCCCCCCCCACGGAGCACTCTACAAGCTTCCTAGAGGCTATTCATGCCCTTTTTTTGAAAAAAAAAACGGGCCCGTTTTCACGAAAAACGGACTGTTTTGGGGAGGTCTGCAGAGTGCAAAAAAAAATTTTTTTTTTTAAATTTGCCTCTATAAAACCTTGGTGCGTCTTATACTGATGCGTGTTATACTCCAAAAAATATGGTAAGTGCAATATAGGAGATATTCTACAGCATGAAAAATACCAATGTTTCTATTACAGAGCAATCATTCTTCAAAATAGGAATCACCTAAACCTTCAATTAAATCTTGCTGATAGGTTCATACTCCATACTCACCAGAAGCTCCTTATACTTTGGCCTTTTGGATTCATCCTTTGTAAGGCTTAAAAGAGTAATAAAAAGATTACAAATGAAAATGATTACAAATGAAAATGATTGCAGAAAGGCATTTTAGTTAATTCTTGGATGGCACAAGTTAAAGGAATGATCAGAAACTGGTAATTCTAATGCATTTGGGTACATATTCATTTTTCTGTGAAGTTACTGTAACCTACAGACTACTTACTTGTTTTCAAATTCTGTACCCACAATGTACAAGCTTTAAATCTGTAGCACTCATTTATCCATGCTTCCTTTTTCCTGCCTTCCAAGCCTGTTCTAAACCCCTTAGAAACAGTTTTCTACAAAGGCATCTAATATATTAACATCCTGTCAAAATAGTAATAATTAATAATTAACAGTGGATCAATAACAAGACAGAGCATAGTTGGAAGATAGGGAAAAATAACAGCTTCTTTTAAAGAGAGAACACAATTTACATGGAAACCAGCAGGGAGGTTCATTCTATCCAGACTGAAACATCCGAACTTATTCATTCAATTACAAGATTTATAGGCCACTCCAGTTCATCAATTCTGGGCAGTGCATAGGTCTCAATATTGGAGATTAAAATCATACAACTATATCCTAGATTACTATGGAACTGCAAACGCTGAATAAATACAGTAACAGCTTGGTAGAACAATCAGATTTTCATCGATTTTGTAAAAGCCAGGAGGGTCAATTGTGTGTTTGGGAGAACAGTTCCAAGGGAGGGTTTGCAACTCAAAAGACATGTGTATGTGGCCCCTGGTAGTGACAGTCTCCTGTCAAGGGGACACACAGTGAGTCTACCCTACTGAATCCTATTGGATGGGCAAATATTACGGATTTCTGGGAAATGGTGGTCCCACAAATCACAAACGACTTGATGACAATCAGCATCTTGAATTGCACCTGGAAGCAAAGTAAGCTATGCAGTGCAATTGTTGGAGTAGAGGTGGGAATGGTAATGGAATGAGAAAATGTTAAGGGAAGAATTGTAGAAAATATGACTTAGTTCTGAGAAAGCGTAAGAAATTCAAAACAGCCCTGCCTTGATTTTGTTTAGTGCAAGGCAGAGCTTAGAAAAACTGTTACAAAAGCAAAAAAAAAAAAAAAAAAAACAACCACCAGCATCCATATTCTTGTTTATTTGAAAGCCACTAAACAAAACTCCAATTTGGACATAAGGGCAATCTATGATTTAACTGCAGGTTCTTAGTTTTTGCCTTGTGTGTGCAAAGGGATAGTGAAATGGTTTAAAAAAACTGGTTTAAATATTGCTTATTAAGCCATAAACTGATGGTCAAAATGTGTTTTATAGAGTGTTTGAAACATTAACAAGAAAACAGACTGACCAAATTTCCAAACAAACCATAAAACCTATTTCTGTACTATTGACAAGAGACTGACATGGATATTTCCATGAAATCATCAAGAGTTGAGCATGTCTCAAAAGAAATTTACTAGTTTACTAAAGTTACACTAACCGGAAAGTTCAGTAAGCTTAAAAATATTTTTCTTCTGCTTTTCTTTTTACATAATTGAAAGTTCAAAAGCAATTTCTTTTATTCTTGTTACTTTAATGTGTCTGAATTCCTGTTTTGTTTGTAATTATTTTTTGGTAGATTGGATGTTTCCCATTTGGCATACTAATTGCAATGAGACTCAGAAACCATTCATTTTATATCCAATATAATGTAACAAATGCAAAGCTGCAAATACTCCCAGTAGAACTCTATCAATTCTTGTCACTAAATATTATAGCAAGGGTAGGCAGTCCAATATTTTGATTAACTTGTATTGATCTCAGTGAGCAGAGTTACCGACTTGGAACTATGAAAAAAATATGGATGGTACCCAGTTGCCTACTCCCGTCAGAACGATGATGTGAACCCAGCTGAATGCAATCAGCACCATACTATGCCAAGGGCTAGATACTGGCGAGTCCATGCCCAAATAAGTAATCTTACTTCTTAGAAAATTTCAGGGCCAGATGTAGGATCATAGCATACTATGGGTAGAAAACTATAATCTCCACTCATTTCTATTTAGTAGATTGTCTCAATTATAACCTTAGATATGACACACCAATTCATACTTAAAAGCAAAAAAAAGTACCAGGACCCTCTATGATAGGAGGGAAACATACTCAGACATAGCAGACACAGAATTCAATTCTGTAGTTCAATTAGCACAGATCATTCTGTTTATTCAGGACTTATCAATAGGTTATAATAATTTGAGTCATAGAAATGTCACAATAAAGACTAGTATTAATTTAAACTGAAATTTAACTGTCTGAAGTGATAACAACGCATTCCTAAGAAAGGCTTATTAAATAAGCTATAGTTGACTACCGTATTTTTCAGAGTATAAGAGGCAGCTTTTACCCTAAAAAAAGAGGCTGAAAATCTGGGTGCATCTTATACACTGAATACAGCATTGTATGTCCGTGTATAGCCTTTAGGAGGCTTTCATCGTGCTCCTGGGGGCTGGGGAGGGCAGAAATGAGCGAAAAACTCGCCGTTTTTTGCTAAATTTTGCACCCCTACAACCCCCAGGAGCACTCTATAAACCTCCTAAAGGCTATGCATGCCCTTTTTTTGAAAAAAGAAATGGGCCCATTTTTGTGAAAAACAGGCTGATTTTGGGAGGTTTGCAGAGTGCAAAAACTCTTTTTTTTTAATTTGCCCCTTCAAAATCTTGGTACATCTTATACTCCAGTGTGTCTTATACTCTGAAAAATACGGTAGTTCTCATTATCACGCTTTAAGTATAAGCATAAACCATGTTATACAAAACACAATGGTTGGATTTACTTTGGAAAAACAAAACAAAAAATTCATATTTTACCTTAGCACGTTATACAAATTTATTTATATAGATTATATAAACTGGTGGTTCTCACCATTTTCACCATGGACCCTCTTTAAATAACTTTGTAGCCATGGACCATGGCCACAGATCCCCAAGACTTAACTCAAGATTTACCCTTATTCAAGCCCGCATGAATCCCTATGAGAATCACTGTGCTAAACCGTTCATCCAGAAGAAGATCAAAATGAGACATACTCACCACAAGTTGACAAAGTTGATAAAACTTTGGGAGAACTCCCGTTCCTCTGAGTTGCTCAGTTGTGGTGGGTCTCCTTTGACCACTTGTGTCAGCTGATCAAATACACTATTCCACTTAGGATAAGGAAACCGTCCTGTGGCTAACTCATACTGCAGCAAAGAGATCAGCACAAAACATACAGGCTGAATTATTCAACATGAAGTTCACAAAAATAGAAAGAGTTACTGCTGCTATTATATATTCTTCCTTCGGAAGGAGCCGGTTGCAGGATATAGTGTAATACAATAGTTCTATAACAATGATAAAATGTAAATCAAAGCATTCCAACTGAGACAGTAAATGAATTGCAGATCTAACACTCCTAAATATCCTGTTTCCCTGAAAATACGACCTCTCCAGATAATAAGCCCAATCGGGCTTTTGAGTGCATGTGCTAAAATAAGCCCTCCATCGAAAATAAGCCCTCCCCGAAAATAATGCAACACAGCAGCAGCCATGAGGTGACCATGCTTGCTGCCTCCTGCACCTCAAAAATAATAAGACTTCCCCGAAAATAAGGCCGAGTGCTTATTTTGGGGGTGAAAAGAAAATAAGACCCTGTCTTATTTTCAGGGAAACATGGTAGTTAAGAGTAAAGATCCAGGCAATTATATCTACTAGGCATGGGGAAACAAGTATTTTAAACATTGTGTTAGACTTGGCCATTTGAGAGCTACCTTCCTGGGAAAGAAATTCAATAATTCACTATAAATAAGGCCCTACTTTAGATCAACTGAAAGCAGCAGTGGTTGCATTATTGGCGTTAACTACAGATTATCACAAAACATGTCTATGGAGATTCTCAGTCATCCAGGTCATGGTTGTCCCAAAGGTGCTTTTTCAAGAGGAAAATCCAGTTGCCTCTTGAAAAAGCACCTTTGGGATCACAAAATATGGTAAGTCAGTACAAGAGAGATGAACTTTTAATAGTTTACATTCTAAATTATTGAGGATATGATATACAAATAGTAATCACTTCATTTGTGCCTGGGAGATCAGATTTGGCCATTCCCATTAAAATGTGTGTATTCTGTATAAACTGTAGCTTGGCACAAAGCACAAAGCTTCAATCCAAGAAAAGCCAGGACTAATCATTTGAAGCTAAACGGAAGCATACATTTATTTCCCATGGTCAAGGATACATATAGAAAAATTATTATTGACACTGAAAAAGTTAATGCTGCATGCTCCTTCAGATCTGTAACAAGTAATGGAACTGAAGATATGAAACAGTACTTCACTTCACTGGTGCTGACCAATGATTTCTCATTAGACAGGTACCCCCACTTCATTTATGCTATAAAAAAAAGTCTGACTTTCTACTTGAAGCAAAGTATTCTTTACACAAGCAATGGTTTTATATGTCCACTAGGGGGAAGCACCACATGGTACAATAAAACTGAAAAAAGTGAACAAAGAAGCCCAAACTGATAAATTCAGATAGGCAGATATTTTATGTTTATAAAAGCAAGACCTCTCTAACTTTTACATTTCCCAAATTCTTTTATCACTTCATAAGCAGATTTAAGAACTTCTCTTCAGCAACACTCACTATTTCTTACCAATGTAATCCCTAAACTCCAGACATCAGAACGGACATCATATCCTTGCCTGGATGCACTAGGATCTATCCTCTCTGGCTGAAATAAGATAAGAAAAATAGACATACAAGAGAAAGATCAAATATATTAAGAAATGGTATAAAGATTACACAGTGAGATGGAGGTAAGACTTCATGTAACACCAACATTTCACTTATCAAGCATCACTTTCATGAAGAGCAAAAACAAAACAGAACACTACAATCTGGTTAGCAATTTCTGGGCTCTGTATGAACTGTGCCAATTAAGCATAATTTGATCAATTGTTTGTACATCAAACAATCTGATACATCTAAGCATACTTCAGGCCTAAGTACATGTCAAGCATTTCTTAAAACTGGTGCTTAAATTGAGTCTCTAAGTTGCTTGTATAATTTACAAGACAACCTGAAGGGAAGATCATGGTAAGAAACCAATGTGCTTTTAATTCAGATCAGGAACATGCTCTCAAAATGGAGTGTGAAGCTGCTTTTTGTCCAAAGCAAATTTAGGCACATTTTTAAGAGAACTTACTATCATGCCATAGTTTAGCATTCAAGGCCTCCACTCTTTTTCCACAATAAACCTGAACCCTAATTTTCAAACCTATTTCAATGACCCCTTTTCTCTTAAGGAAAAGCAAAGATTCCAATGATGATTAAATGTGTCTCCAACACTGTACTTCATGGAAATCATCATTTTCCATCTTCTTTTTCTTATTGTAGGAAGCTTTTTCTAGGAACCCTCCAACTCCGTCTAAGTTAAGACATTTATTCCTCCTGCAAATGTTCCTTGATCTGTCTACTATTAGAAAATCCAGATTATTAAAGATTATTAAAATATATGCATGATTTGCTATGCATCCGAAGCTACTTAGCATGAGCATCCAGGGATGTAATGTTCTACAATGAGACTGAAAAAGTCCCTGGGCTGCACAAACAGTAATATGCTTTTAGACATTAACATTTGTAAGATATCAATGATGTGATCTAGCCAGGTGCAGCATACTTAGAAACTTAGAAATAAATATAGAATACTTAAAAATAAATATGGAATTCTTTTTGCTGCCTAGATCAAATCTCTAAAATCATAATTCGCTCAGGGGGTCTTTTCAAAATTAAACAGTGCTTCTCTCCTAGCAACCAAATTGCTACACAATTTACAATTCTTATGTGTGTAATATTCCCACTGCCTCTGCAAAACTACTGACAGACACCTGCAAGAAACCTAATATGATTCCTGCTCTTCCTTATTCCCTCCAAAGGAATTAGTTTCAAAACTTTCTCTAGGATCAGTACAACCTCATTTAAAGATTTATTTATTTATGAATAAGAAATATTTTTGTGTGTATTAAAGGGCCAGAATTAAAATTTCATATTATAATTACATATTATATTCATATCCAAGTTATCTATCCAGAGCTTTAGGCAATTAAAATTGACCCAGAGGATTTATCCTGGATTTTTAGTATTACTCTACATAGCAGGGTTGGGGGGGGGGGGGGGGACCAAAAAAGGGTTCATTCTTATTCCCATCTCAGCAATTAAATTTTCCAATCCCACTTACTGCCATATATGGCCGGCATCCAGCATCTCTGGTTTTGGCAATGGAGTCTACAAGTTGTCCACTAATGCCAAAATCACAGAGTTTAATATTTCCATTTCTATCCAGAAGAATATTGGAAGGTTTTATATCTGAAAGAAATAAAGGAAAGATTTTCATTAAAAGGGAAAATTCCAGATAAGATACTTTTATTTCAATCTACTGAAATCTCCCAAATAACAAGAAACAATATCAAGAACTTGTTTGCACCTTTGCTGGAGAAATCTGATGTTCTCTGTAATTGATCAGCTATGGGCATACTGTAATACAGCTTCTTCTCATTTGGGCTCGCACATATATACGAAGAAAATCTGAGATTATCCGCTTTTAATGAAAATGACCATTGGCTTACCTGAAGGGTCCTTTTCTGGGTGCTGCGAAGGAGAGTCCAAGCATGGGTTAAATACAGCCAATCTGCCCAGGACTGAATTGAAACTTTAAGCCACGCCTCTGGTGCCGACTAATCCTCAGATTTTCTTCAATGAAGGCGTAGACAATGTGCGCTGAGAAGTTCAGGAACCAAGTCAATGAAGGTCGTAAAAAAACCCCACAAGTCCAGAAGAAATCATATGACAAATGGCGGAGCAGATCCAGGGTGGGGTTGGACTCTCTTTCGCAGCACCCAGAAAAGGACCCTTCAGTTAAGCCAATGGTCATTTTCCTGGGTGCTGCTCTAGAGAGTCCAAGCATGGGACATACCCAAGCTAAATGTCACTAGGGTGGGAAGCGGAAGCATCCAGGGTCTCTCCGCTGGTATGAATGCCTTGGAGCACTCGCCTCCCAAATGCCCCCTCTGTAGAAGCAAATTTGTCGAGTCTGTAGTTTCGAACAAAGGGAGACAAAGAAGTCCACGTGGCAGCCTTGCAAATCTCCTCTATCGGTGCCTGGGTAGGTCAGGCCGCCGTGGCGGTGGAGCTTCTGGTAGAATGTGCAGTGATATGGCGTGGCATTGGAATAGATTGAAAAATGTGGGCCGTGGGTAATACAGGCCAGTAACCAACATCTGATGGTCTGAGAAGAAACTTTGTGGCCCTGGGATGCAGGTTGAAATGAGACAAAAAGTGATTCAGAGCAATGGAAGGCAGCCGTACGTTTGATGTACTTACATAAAGCTCTACAAACATCGAGCATGTGCCACTTTTTCTCTTTGGGATGTTTGGGGTGTGGACAAAAATCCGGAATGATCACCTCCTGGGCCCGGTGAAACCAAGAGTTGATATTGGGTATAAATGCCGGGTCCAAACAGAGGATTACTCTATCAGGTTGTATCAAGCATAAGTCTTCGCGAATTGACAGTGCTGCCAATTCAGAAATTCGCCGTGCCGGCGTGATCGCAATCAAAAAGGCTGTCTTAAATGTAAGATGTTTGAGGTTGGCCGATTCGAGAGGTTCAAAGGGCGGGCCAATGAGAGCCTGTAACACCACATTGAGATCCCATGAGGGGTACCTGTGAACGACCGGAGGCTTCAGGTTGGTTGCACTCCATAGAAAACTATGGATGATGGGATGAAGACCAAGGGAAGAATGCTCATCTACTGTTAAGATCGTGGAAAAGGTGCCACCTGTTGTCTGAGAGGGCCGGTTAGGGGCCAGGCCTTGGTCAAGTCCATCTTGCAAAAAGTCTAAGATCTGAGAAATCGTAGCCGTAGTCGCCACAGTGTCATGCTCTCTGCACCAATTGTTGAAGGATTTCCACGTGGTGTTGTATATTCTCGTTGTAGAAGGCCGTCTAGACCCCTGAATGCTGTGAATGACCTTGGTGGAAAGACTATCCCTACTTAGGAGGTCCCTCTCAAGTGCCAGACAGCTAGTTGTAACCACTGGGGCTCTGGATGTTGAAGCGCCCCCTGGCTGAGAGAGACCTCATGCTGAGGAATCCACCAAGGGGGGTTGACAGAAAGACTCACCAGGTCGACGAACCAGGTCCTTCTGGGCCAGTAGGGAGCCATGAGTAGAATTTCCGCTTCCTCCAACAGGATTTTCAGAATCACCTTGGGAAGAAGAGGCCATGGGGGGAAAGCGTGCATCAGTCCTGATGGCCACGGACAGTGGAGAGTGTTGACCCCTCGGCTTGCGGGGTGTGGAACCTGGAGAAGAACCTGGAGAGGTGCGTGTTCTCCGGGGTGGCGAACAGGTCGACTAGGGGATGTCCGAACCTCTGAGACAATTGGTGGAACAGATTCTGGTGCAGGCGCCACTCCAAGTGATCGACCATGGCTCTGCTCAGACACTCCGCCTGGATGTTATGGACTCCGGAGATGTGCTCCGCTTGGATCGAGCACAGGTATCTTTCCATCCACCTTCCCAGGCACTCTGTCTCCTCCATCAGAGACCTGGAGCGAGTGCCCCCTGGTGGTTTATGTGGGCCTTTGTGGCCACATTGTCCATTAGCATTCTCACGTGATGCCCCACTCTCAATTCTAACCAGTTGATGCTGTGGGACACTTCGGGCATTGACCATCTGCCTTCTGCAATCTGGTTGTGGAGATGCGCGCCCCAGCTGAATAAACTAGCGTCCGTCGTGATGATGAGATGGTCTGGCTCTTTGAAGAGGGTGCCCTTCCCCAGCGCGGGGGACAGCCACCACTGGAGGGACTGGCGTACCTTTGGTGAGACCTGAACCAGCTGTTGAGAGTTGCTCATGTTGGCCCTCTGGTAGGACAGGAGGAGCCATTGTAGGTGTTGAGAATGAAGGCACGCCCAAGGTACTATTCACAGGCATGAAATAATCTTGCCGAGGAGTTGTGACAGCTGCACGATCGATGCCTGCGATGACTGCAGTACCTGCAACACCTGGCTTCTGATGCTTGCCAACCGCTCTGGAGACAGGGAGACCTGGCAACTGGTGGTGTTGATGATGGCGCCGAGGTGCTGCAGCCTGGTGGTCGAATACAGATGATTCTTTTCCTTGTTGATGGAGAACCCGTGATGTTGAAGGGTTCGCAGTGTGTGCTGCAGGTCTTCCACCACTTGTTGCCATGACAATGACTTAATGAGGACGTCATCCAGTAGCAATGCAGTCATACCAGGCGAGATCACAGGAAGGCCACCACCACAGCTAGGATCTTTGTAAAGGTCCGAGGTGCCGAGGACAGGCCGAATGGCAGAGCCCTGTACTGGTAGCGGTAGCCTGCATAAAAGAATCTCAGGAATCTGTGGTGAGCTTTGAGAATGGGGATGTGGAGGTAGGCCTCCTTGAGATCTATGGATGTTAAGAGATCTCCCGGCCTGATGCAAGCCAGAATTGACTGAAGGGACTACACTTGAACCTCTGGTATTCTATATGATGGTTTAGTTTTTTTAGATCGAGGATCCCCCTCCTCCCCCCCGGAGTTCTTTGGGACAAGGAAGAGTATTGAATAAAACCCTGTCCTTTCCTGACCTGGTGGAACTGGTTCTATGGCGTTTATGTCTCGGAGGTGAGGGATCTCCTGTTCCATGAGAGCCCTCTTGACCGGACAGGAGGGGGTTGGACACCAAATGAATTATCGGGGAGAGGAAGAAATGAACATTAGACCTATGCGTATCGTCTGAAGGACCCACTGGTCCAACGTGATCCACTCCCATTGGACGTGGAACAGCTGTAGATGCCCTCCTATGGGAGCCGTCCGCTGATGGTCACTTATAACATCTGGAACTGGATGCTACACGGTAGGGACGTTTAGAGAAGGACTGTTGATGGTTTCTGTCATGAAAGGCCTGGCAGTCCTGGGACCTATCCATGCCTTGAGAATAGGGACGTTGGAAAGAAGTGGAGGTAGATGGCTGCTCTGAGTTCCGAAAGGGCTGCCTCTTATAAGTCTGGGAACCCTTGCAGTCTAATTTTTTGTTGACTGAAGATATGACCTTTTTGTCAACAAGGACAGGATCTAGGGCCTCCCCAAAAAGCTTGCCGCCCTTAAAGGGAGCCGAGGCGAGCTTCCACTTGGGGAGCATATCCATGTTCCAATGCCTGACCCATAAGAGGCGCCTGGTGGTGACATTAGAGGTCAGGGATCTAGAGGCAAACTTAGCAGCGTTCAGGGTGGCATCAGCAGTGTATTCTGTCATTGCGATAATTTTGTTAACAACCTGCCTTAATTTGGTATCTTGGCGAGGATCTGCCCTGGACAGAAAGGATGTAGAAGCGGAAGTTTTAATGGCCCAAGCCACCGTCTGATGAGTCTTGTGACAGGTGTTCTTGGCTCTTTTGTCCTCCGCCTTGAGCCCTTCTAATAGTTCAGGGGGGAGCACTGAATTGGAAGTGAACACCGCCACAGACAATTTCAGTAAATCTTCTCGACTTGGATCAACCGTGTACAATTTTTTGTGATTACCACTAAGCAAGGGTGCCTGGCTGTGCCCACTGCTTTTGCACTACATTAAGAAACAATTTTGGAACTGGCATAATTTCCTGAGTAGGTTCCGGCTCCTCAGAGTCCCTCACTGAGGTCCTCCGGTGCAGGAGTAGCCAGAGCCAGGGTGCTAGTACGCAAGTGGGTCAAGGCCTTAGCCTTGTTCAAAATAGTCTTGAAATGAGCATAGTTGAACAAGCCAGAGAACACCGGCTTGTTGGGAATAGCAGCCTCATCCTCGGACAATTCTGGTTCTAGCCTTGGACCGAGGTTCTACTCTCAGTCAGAATCCTCAGCCAAGAATGAGTGTGATGATTGAGGGAGCTAGGCCTGAGCAACATCTTGTGCAGGCCCAGGGGTTGGGGGTGGGTGGGATTTGTGCGGGCGCTTGGCCTGTTGCAACATGCCAGCCTCTATCCCATGGGAAATGGCCCTGGCAATGACATCCTGCATTTCTACGGAAAGATCGGATCCCCTATCTTCGGGGGGCGAGCTCCAGGTGTGGGCTGAATGGCCGGTTGTTGAGATGCAAGGGGGCCCACTTTGAACAGCTCCTCTTCAGGATCAGAAGGACATGTAAATAGGTCTGCTTGATCAGCCATAGAAGGCCCAGGGAGCCTGCCATTGCAATGGAATCTGCAGAGGATAATTCCTGGCCTTCATCCTCACTCTCCAACATTGAAGAATCCTGACCAGGCTGAACCCCGGGCGAGTGATCCCCAGGAGAAACAGGCCCAGAAGGCTGGGCCTGTAGTTGAGCCCTAGAAAACTGTTTTTCTAAAGCCTTTTGGCGTCTGATGGCATCTCTGTCTAGGCCCGAACTCTGCTTAGTCCCCTGTCTAGAGTAAGGCTTGCTTGCTCTCTTGGCCTCCCCCTGGCTGCCTTGCCAGCCTGTCTGGTACAGGCCCTACTGGTGGAGGGACCAATCTGTTGCTGCTCAGGCGCCCTATCTGCCATGATTGAATGTGGGGATGTAAGGCCTGGAAAGTAACTTTCCCCCACTCACCACCTCAGATGAAACTGGCCTTAGCGCTCTGGTGCAGAGGCACTGAAGGTAGGAGCAAGCAAAGCTCAGCAGTCTTTGATTGGTGAAGGAGAATGGTGCGAACTCCAAGCTCCCATCACCCACACAGGTCAATTAATGTGGGGCACGACCACGTGGGCCACAAACCTCCCCTGCTACCCTCTACCATAATAGTGGAGCTGTGAATTGGCAAACCTGCCGGAATTCCAGACAGGAAGGCTTCTAGTGGTGACCTGCAAGAGACAGGCAATCAGGCAGCTGTAGCTGCTTTTTGCGGGAAAAGGAGGTCAACAAAATGGCAGCTGGAACTTTGACCCTTTTAAAATGGCCACCACCATATGTGACCCTCTCAAAATGGCCAATGCCACATGCAACCCACTTAAAATAGCCACCTGCATATACCAGAGAGCTTTGAGGCTCTGCACCAACAGCTGGCTCACTCAGAAACACGGTCAGCAGCAACAGATGTCCCAGCTGAGTTACAATCGCAGCGGTATGGCTGCGATTGTGCTGGCATCGGCACTCTGACCCACGCACCTTCCCCAACAGCAGCCTGCAGCCTCACGGTGCCCGAGCAAACTCAGGACACCGGAGAGGCTGTAATGAGAGAATCAGTGAATTAGGGTCAAAGGAAAACTCACCAAGCCTGCTCCAATAATCAGGAAGAAGATAAATTTTGTAGTAAAGTAGAAAAATAGAGAGTCCAAGCAATCACTTAGGAATGAAGAGAAACTGGAAGCGCGTCCACTGGGCTAGCTGAATTGAAAAAAATCTGAGGATTAGTCAGCACCAGAGGTGTGGCTTAACGTTTCAATTCAGTCGTGGGCAAATTGGCTGTATTTAACCCATGCTTGGACTCTCCAGAGCAATACCCAGGAAAATTATGCAGCATAAAAGCAAAATCTAATCTGATGTATTGTACATCACGAATTACTAGGTGTTATATGAAGGCACACTGTTATTCTGAAGGTCAACATTAATTCCACTAAGTGACGCGTAAAGTATTTGCAATTTTTTTCATGAACTTGTTCTGAACATATGGGTCTGGTGGTAAAAGCAAAGAAAAGGAGATTAAATTCACAATGCCTGCCATGGTGGCGCATTGGTTAGAATGCAGTACTCCAGGCTAACTCTATGCTCACTCCAGGAGTTCAATTTTGAGGGCCCAAAGACTCAGCCTTCCATCCTTCCAAGGTGAGTAAAATGAGGACTTAGATTATTGGGGGCAATATGCTGACTCTGTAAACCTCTTAGAGGGGGCTGTAAAGCACTAGGAAACAGTATATAAGTCTAAGTGCTATTGCTATTATTTATTTAATCACAGGAGTTGGATTATAACTTTTTGCAGATCAAGCTAGCACAGTAAGCAATAGAGAATGCTGGGAGTTTTAATCTGAACTGGAAAGTTGCAAGGTCTTTGTCTTTACTTTAAGCAGTATTTTAATCTTTCTGGGGGCAGTGAGTTGTCCAGATTTCCCAAGGGTGAAAGAAGGAACTACTATTATTTTAGTTGGTCATTTTGGGCTTTCCATATAAAGAGTTTCAATTTTATTGTACATGGACTTTAATTATTAGTATACCCTGAGAATATACTAGTATACTTTAATTATTAGTATACCCTGAGAGTTGATGTGGAAAATTACATTAGAAATTCAAATAATTTATAGTAATCTAAAGCAAAAAAAAATCAATTATGTCACGGTTTGGCACCTGGAACTTCCTTTCCTGCATTTGTGGGAAAGAAAGTGATGGGCAATTTTCTCCATTTCCTGAAAGTTCCAAAAATGACTCCTCGCTGTTCCAAATGCCTTACTCTTTAGATTTAGATTTAGATAGATGGATGGATGGATGGATGGATGGATGGATGGATNTAGCCCGTCAGGCCTGGGGACAAAGATAATCGCCCCTCCCGAATGATGAATGAATGTTGCTTATTATTTTACTCTATGTTTGTCTACGTCACTGTTTGTATTTCCCTCCCCTGATCCTATGTAAGCCACCCTGAGTCCCCTCAGGGAAAAGGGCGGCCTATAAATGTTAATAAACCTAAACCTAAACCTGTTTATAAATTTCTCTTGTTTTATGAACAATATTTTCCTCGAACAGCTGAATTCATTTTGGCATTTTATTGCCATTTCTCGTAGAAATTCAGAATCTATGGCAGCTAAAAGTGCCAACTTTTAGCTGCCATTGAACAAATGTGACAGAAAGGCCTGACATAAATATTTCAAGCAAGCAAACCAATATTTAAAAGCATAAAGGTATTCTAGATAAGATTAAGATTATACAATATGTAAAAGTAATGCTAAGCGTAGGTATGATATGAATAATGTAGAATGCATAGCTTAAGCTGACAAGTTAAAACCTAAATGTTACATAAGTTTTGCTAATATTCTAAATCCCCACAGGAAGTCTTCTTTGAATGGCTGCCCTTTCATCTCAGAATTAGCTTATGCTTAACCTCTCTGGCAGAGCTCTAAGAATGGCATAAGCTTTTTCTAGAAAACACATCAGATGCTTATTATAAGCAGAACTCATATGCTATTCACTTTCATAATGTCTCCAAGCAGCATAATGGGAGAAATAAAATATACATATAACCATACTAAATATGGATACTTTTAAACAACAAACTTCATTTCTTATATATATATTTATTTATTTACTACATTTATTTGCCATCTATCTCACTGCTGAAATGACTCTGGACAACTTACAAAATGATAAAAGATCAAAATAAAAACTTGTTAAAATTTGTAAGAATTAAATATCGAGTCTAAAAATTAAGGGGATGAACAACACAAGATGGGGTCTTTTCTCTTACTCCATCAACTTATCTCCAACATAAGAGCATCCCCATTTGGGCCCCAGGCCAGCTAGCAGAACCAGGTTTTAAGGCTCTTCTGGAAAACTAAGGGAATGGGGCAGGGACCACAGAGAAAAGGCTCTAGTGCTTAGACTTCACCAACTAATATTCCTTGGCAGACAAGGTCTGTAATAAGACCTTTCTTCTGAAACAAGTGAGGTGGGTCAATCCCACTGGGGTGAGACAGAGCTTCAAATACCCTTCATATAGGTAGTCCTTGACTTGTGACCACAATTGAGCCCAACATTTCTCTTGTTAAGTGAGACATTTGCCAAGTGAGTTTGCCCCATTTTTATGTCCTTTCTTGCTACAATTGTTGAGTGAATCACTGCAGCTGATAAGTTAGCAAACTGGTTGTTAAGTGAATCTGGCTTCCCCAATAACTTTGCTTCTCAGAAGGTTGCAAAGGATGATAACATGACCTTGGGACACAACAACCGTCATAAGTATGAACCACTTCCCCGAAAATAAGTCAGGGTCTTATTTTCTTTTGACCCCCAAAATAAGTGCTTGGTCTTATTTTCGGGGAGGTCTTGTTATTTTTGAGGTGCAGGAGGCGGAGAGCATGGTCACCTCATGGCTGCTACTGTGTTGCAATATTTTCTGGGAGGGCTTATTTTTGGGAGAGAGCTTATTTTAATTCATGCGCTAAAAAGCCCGATTGGGCTTATTATCCGGTGAGGTCTTATTTTAGGAGAAACAGGATACAACTTTTCAGCATTTTTTAATCCCATGTTATGAATATGCAAACGTATTTTTAAAAGAAAGAATGGGCTAATTTTCTTTAAATTTTATAAATCACATCAGATTAAACAGTAATAATACAGTTCTCTCTGCTAATACAGCACTTATAAAGTGCTATATAAACAACAGACATTTGTAGAGTGCTAGATGGATGAACGTTAAATTCTCCATCATGTTCCATCCTACAGTTGGAAGTACAAATAATTATGGGCATCACCTACTTTAACAGCCATAATTTGCCCACTTGGTTTGTGGACCATTTTGTTGACAGAACCATAAGCGCCTCGTCCAATTTCTCCAAGGTCTTTCAAGTCCTCTGCAGTAAAATCCCAATGCTGTTCAGGGGAAATCTTCAATTTTCCTGATGATTCAATGCTGTGTGTTCTCAGTCTCTCTCTGTTAAAAAATTTGGGAAGGAATTTTTCCACATTTTAAATAGTTTAAAACCTTTTTTACCAGCACCAATCAAAAGCATTTATATAGAGGAATGTACGCATAACTAATGCAAGAGGGTAATCTCCAAGAAGGAGTTAGATGGAGGCAAAGTGCAAGATACTAACTTAATTGTAACTACTACAAAGAAAACAAAAATGTTATTTTCTTATGTTGTGTCAATTTTCTTTGAGGATATTTATAAATTCCTGGCTAAAACATGTTACTAGCTATGCTTGGAAATGTTTTATAATTTGTCCATTTAGAATAATTATATAGCAATAATGATATTTTTATTATCTCTATTAATAATATCATTAAAAATTTACATCTGTAGTCATTGCATTTTATTAGAATTGGTTGATCTTAACACAAAACCCCAAATTAGAAGGGCTTTATCTGTTCATTAAACTTCCAAAATTCATTATAAAGCAGCTATTTTAATTATATTTGTGAAGTCAATTAAAAGCCACAAAATGATTGCTGCTCATTTTTATCCCTAAAGGAAGGAAGTGTATAAAATATTTTTGTGGCAAAGTGCCAAGTAAAAAAAATTTTTTTTAATATCTGATCAATATAAAAGAGAACTGCTAACACTAACCTCTTTAGCTCCCACTGTGGAAATATTTCAGAGTTACATTTCAAAGCTCTCCCAACACAGTTAAATATGATTGTCTTGGCAAAGAAACTTTACTTTTTAGTTCTTAGATATGTCCCTGTTCGGGTCTTTTCCCATGTAAGATTGAGATTGTCTTGGCAATATTTTGGCGAGGTCTCATTCACCATCTTCAGGCTGCGTTTTGGGCTTAAAGTGTGGTTGGAGCTGCCGTCTTTCTATAAATCTTGGTGGGTGGGTGTGGAATGCTGGCTTTGTTTCAGTAAGTGAAATGATTGGTCATGTGGTTGTATCATGAAATAGAGAAACACCCCCCACAACATGAATAACCGTGATGATTACCTCCCACCTACCAGACATCTGGAAACCAGCCCTAGTCAAAAAACGAGCCCCACCCACCACCCAGATGGAACACAACACAAAACAACGGACACACAGCCAGCACCAATCAGCACCAATCTACAAATCATGATACAACCACACAACCAATCATTCCACTTACTGAAACAAAGCCAGCACTCTCCACACACACACCAAGATTTATAGAAAGACAGCAGCTCCGACCACGCTTTAAGCCNTAATTAGGATTGGAATTTCCATTATTACACAAATCCGTATACATATTCGCTTTTCCAGGGTTGACACAGTTAAAATCTCAATATAGCTTGCTTTTCTCAAGTTCATTTATCTGATCAAGGGAATTTAAACAGTTATGATGGGAAACTATAATGTATGGAATGACTCCCCTTCCTACTTAAATAAACATGGTTTAAGAAGCAGTAGCAGCATGGTTGCGATGGTTTGTAGAATTTCACTCTATGCATCTTTTTCACCATCCCATTGAACATCATTCAACCTGTCCTTTACTGTGTCAATCAAGAGAGTGTTAAGTAATGGGCTCAGAATTGCTATGGTTGAAACTGGGTTTTATCCTTTCTACAAGATTCTCTACATTACAATTCTGTCCTCTTCAATCAACCAAACAGCTGTCTGGGTTGTAGCAGGATAGAAAGTCCACACATAAATATCGTACCCTACACACATACATACCATACTCACATTTGGTAGTGCACATATACATAACCATATTCACACTTCATCCAGTGAATTACAAACATTTTTTTCTTAGCAAACAAAATAAGCCATTTTAAAAGAAGTCAGTGAAATATCAGAGTTTCTTCAGTAATAAGTCTTAAATAAATAAATCTCATTGCTGTCTAGAAGCTGGTTTGGGAAAGCAAAGCAAAGCAAAGTAAATCAGAAGCAGGCACAAAAAAAAAAGAGGAGCTTTCAAAGAAAACTTACAGCTAAAGTGATTTTGCCTAGAATTTCTTCTGGAATAACGTCATCTAATACACCATATACATATTTGTAAAATTTATCAAACGAGGTAGACATGAGCTCCATACAGATCCAACAGTCACCCTAAACAAAGAAATAAAAAGGATTATTATTTTTATTGTTAAAGTGAAACAAATGTTTTGGATATTCTGTGTTAATTAAAATAAGCAATGAAAATCTTCTCACATATATTACTGCACATTCTATTATCCTAATGCTAAGCAAGCAAAAATAACATTCTTCAAATGTACTTCTTGAATAAATTCAAAATTCATCTACTTCTTATATTAGAGGGAAAGTACTATTTATATACACACACACACACACACACACACACACACACACACACACACGCATGCATGCATGCACACATTAGTACTTTACCTCTAATATATATACATACACTACCTGATTGGTTAATGGGTGTACTGTATATTTAAATGATACTGTCCTTTAGTTAGGAAAAAAACCCAATCAATTTCATTATATAAAGACAATTATATTTGATTCATGAGTGGGTTAAATTTTGATGACTTACTTAACATGGCCTCTTGACTGAATGAAAAGAACATTATTCTGTATGACTTTGTATGTCACATTATATGTGATATAATATCAACAATAGCATTTTGTTCCTTGGCATTCAGATTTGCTCCATAGAAGGAGGTCATTACAAATAAGCAAGCTTCTGTAAAAAGACGAGGTTGCACAGCTTATCAAACTACTTCTCTAAGGTGCTATTGGAAGGTGAATATTGGACATATATCCTTTTAGGTACATGGAGTGATCGCAAAGCTCAATAACCATGAGTTCAATGCCCTGCCCATAACATGTCCTGCACAAAATGAAAAGAAAGAACTCAAGCATTCTTACATTCAATTGTTAGAACTAATCCTGATAACATTTGTATTGTAGGTACCCCACTTTCTATCTTGCCCTTCAATTAATGCATGCTATGACTCGTTAAACCTTCTGAAAATACCTAAACGTTTGGATGCAAATTAAGCAAATTCTGAGTGCCAACCTCTCTGAAGAGTGCTCCATAAAACTGAACAATATACGGGCAGTCACTACTTCGCATTACTACATCCAGATCCATTAAAAGCTGTTTCTGTTCCTTTTCATCCACTGTTGACCTAATTCTCTGAAAGAACAATAAGGACAAATCATTAAACTCAAGTCATAGTAGACAGATTTTTTAAAATATAAATGGATGTTATCAATCTGAAATATTCTAGAAAGGGAGAAAGTACTAGTTTGGCAAAGACTTAAATTGAATAGAAAAAAATTAAACCAGTTCTTAAGTTTAATCATACAAAATACATCTGTAATCATACAGAATACAAGAGAAAGAAAAAAAAAACCATCAGAGATAAAAGCTAACACATGTCAGAACTTATGTTGATGCTTAATATGGCTCATTATCTGCAGCAGTGTTTCCCTGCAACACACATTTCTATGTCCAATGCCCATCTTCCAGTGGGTTCCTCCAATATATTCCTTCCCAATAAGCTTTTAGTCATATTTCTTGAAATACGGAAAATGGAAGCTAGGAGGTGCTATTTCTCAGCTGCAGCCTTGTGAAAATCCTTCCCTTACAATTAAAGCATGCACTATTTTTCTCAAACTGCAGAAACTACTGAAGCTGGGACTTTTTAGAATAGCATTCAGTTCAATAGTTTGTTGCCATCACCTTTAATTTACTTTGAATGACTTACAAAGATTTAATTGATATATATTTGATTCTGTTATCTGTTTATTTTTCATCATCGCTCTTATTAAAATCTATCTTGACTAGTTGTAGTTCTGAGTTCATGATCTTAATTTAATTTAATATTGATCCTTGATGTTTTAATGTATGTTTTTAGTGATCCCCCCCCCCCATATACACTAAGTCAATAGAGATTCAACTGTATATAAATAGAACAAATAAATGAATTTTAAGGTTAAATTTTTGAATTTGAAACAATTTGATTACTAATACTGCAACCTATGCATTTATTCTGAATGTTTTCCCTGGTCATAATGGCTGTGTAGACAATTAATTCCATTTAGGCACAGAAACAAAATTCCAAGGATCAATAAGTGACAGAGAGATCAATGTTGCAAATTTCTGAACATAGAGAAAATATTTTCATAGGTACGTTGGATAACTTTTGCCTATTAAACACTTACTGATCACTCTATATCATTTAAAAAGAACATTTAAAAGTATTGTGAATAAATATATTATACATAATAATAGTTTTTTAATGCAATTTAAAAGACATGCTGAATTTCTACATTTCCTTTTTAAGAGAAATGTTTGTAGTAAATAAATAAATTTAAATTCACACAAAAAAGGTACAGCTGCTGCAAATAATTCAGAAGTGTATTTTTTTACTAGCTGTATCTTGGAAACTGTTGGACAACCTGTAAGATATGATGAAAGCAAAGGCACCATTAGGGTTCTCAAGGGAGATAATTCTTGACTTGCAATTCCATACTACTAAAAGGGCTTGGGTTATATTTGACCAAAAAAAGAAAAAGCATACTATCAACTATTGGTTAGCAGGATTTCTGAATGTTCCTGAGTATAATATTGTTGTTCTAATCGATCCCAATGTTTTTTCATCTGTTATTTCAAAAAATTTATTGTGCTTTGAAAACCATTATTTACAATATTTACAAGAATGAAGGCACTGACAGTTTTCATCTTGTGAACAGCAGCTTTTACTTTTAATATAGGTTAATGCAATATTACTTTACTACAGTATTAAGTTTATTTGTATACTTTCACTGTTCAGGCAATAACTTAATTTTTCCAATTATTCCAGTTATTACAAAAAAAATTCTGTTGAGATGTAATATTGTTTTAGAAATTCTTCCTGTCATTATAGAAAATCCATGTGATACCTTGCTTAGCTTGTCAAGATCAGTTCATTGCCTCAAAGGATAATTAGTTCTTTTTTCTCCATAGGATCATATTTCTTTGCCTACTTGCATGATTAAAATATTTGCCTTCCACAATTTCTTACGAAATAGTTCTTCACAATTTCTTCCTATGAATGAAAACTTTGTAACGCTAAATATAACTGAATTGCAAGGTATGGGACACTTGATAAATATTACAAAAATATCTAAAGCAAACAATACCAGTGTTTTTTCTGAGGTACACATAGTACAGTAGTCTAACATTGACCATTCATAGTAAGACATGGGATTAATAAGGTAAATGAAGACTGTTCAAGCATTACCGATGACACTATTACTCTACTAATCTCACTTGAATCATGATTTTTAAAAAATATTTAAAAGCAAAACTTTATTCTAAATTAGTAGCAAGGATACCAAACTACACTAGAATCTTCTTACATCTATACTGAAATCTGCAATAAACAAAACAACACCACAACTTTGGTGAAATTAGTAAATGCCTTATTTTTTGTTTGTTTTGTTTTGTTTTCTTTGGCTAAAGAATCTTCAAGTTGTTGGATGGAAGCCATCTGATAATCAAATACTAAATTATATCCAATAAAAAAATGCCAAACTATGTCCTGGACTAACATTAGCTAATATGCTTAGAACTGGCTCACTAGACTAAAATCATCTCAGCCTCAAATCATCTCAGGTCTACATAGCTGTCTTTCTTGTAGTCTTCTCACAGAACCTCCTCAACCTTGTTTACTTCAGTGGCTATTTGCAGCAAATGGTACAAAGTGGTTTTTCAGAAGGGGGATTTAATCCCTCTTTCACAAAGGTGTTCCATGGACATCCACAATTCTAATGCGAACCTTTTTTTTTAAGCAATTGTAAACAAAGTAATTTAAAACTATGCATGGCATTGAGTTATAGTCTAAGCAATCAGATCTCACACTAAAAATCCTTATAGCAACAATGGTCTATTCATACTATAGATCTCTAGACTTCACTGAAATATATAGTATCCTATTCCTATCTATTCTCCAAGGAATAGTTTCCAAACTACACAAGCCACAAAATAGCAGACACAAAAAAGTTTTGCTTTATTCCAGAGGTATGCTATATGTTTTCTGGGCAATTCTTCAAGAACTATCTATCATTCTGCATCCCAGAAAATAATAAACAAAAAATTCTATTTAGAAGTTATGGATATTGAAGATATTGCCTACTATCCAAAAATGAAGTCTTGACTATAAAATGCATTGGAAAACAGAGGAATAATAAATAATGTGGATAAAAGTGCCAAATCCAGTCAAAACATCTGGCTGATCAGGTTTTTTTTTCATCCTAGTTTGTTTTTTGTTTTTTTTTGCAGTCCAGGGTCTGTATTTTCAGATCAATCTAATGTTGATATATTCATTGTGTCCTAAACTGACTGGTTGGCTTGTCTCTCTTGTCAGATTTCACGGGATAAGAGTGAATAACCATTCCAAAGTTATCCAGAAGGCTTTCATACCTAAGGGGGGACTAGAACTCACAATCTCCTGGTTTTAGTCTGGTGTCTTAAATTACTAGACCAAACTGGCTCTTTCCTCTAAAATTGATTTAACATATATTTTATTCTAGTAGTCTCTTTAACTCAAGCAATATCCCATTATTTATGGCACTAAATAAACCATCAGTTCCTCTAACCTTCATTGTTTTCCTTTAGATCTAATCATTCCTACAATGTTAAGATCTCCTATGACCTAAGTAGAGGCCTAAAACCATCTGTAAAGTAGTTCTTTTGTGTATTTCTTGAATCATTAATGTGCTAAGTGACAATCTACTCATCCCAACTCTTCAGATTGAGACACGGAAGAGGGTCGGAGTATCACGGTCGTAACAGGGAGGGGCAGATATGGCGGGGACTTTAGGGCAGGCCATTACCGAGGAAGGAGGGTTCGCTAGAATACAGAGATCCCACATCCGGGACGTATGATTCCCTGTCCGAGCCTT